GGGGGGGGGGTCTTGCTTGCTTGCATCTTGTGAGTTGATGGATAGGTAGATACTCCGTAGACAGGAATTGACACAGCAAGTAGGAGTTCCAGTATCTTACAAGTGCGAGTTCTTTGAGTCTTTTCTTCAGTGCTCATTTTTGGCTATCCGTCATACTTACTGCTCTGCTCTTGCTCTGTACGAGTATTGCGTATTGCGAGTAAAGGGAAATTTTTGGATCTTGGGGTTTGGGGTTTGTTAAAGGTGGGATGGTACGGTACGGTATTTCTTGATGGATGGATGGATGGATGGATGGATGGATGGATGGATGGATGGATGGATGGATGGTGGATGGATGGATGGATGGTGGATGGATGGATGGATGGTGGATGGTGGGTTGTCCTTGTTGGATATACTATATAATACCTAGAATTGATTGGGTTGTTTCGAGTTAGTGGTAGGTAAGGTAGGTAGGTAAATACTTTCTTTATAGTTTGTTTTGTTTGATAGGGGAAGATGGGGGTGGTATATGGTATATGATACTATATGACTGTAGCTGGTGGCTGGCTGGCTGGCTGGATGGGTGGGTGTGACGAACTTGGTGGGTGGATATTGAGTTTGTTATTTGGATATACCATTTGGATCTATGCTAGGTTTGTGGGGTGTAGGATGGTATTAGAGTCTTATGGAGTGGTATGTTCTTACCTACTCTGAGGCTGCTGCTCACTGTGTGATTAGGGACTAGTTGGTTAGTTGAATATCTGTCTTTCTGTGTATGTAGGCTTTTTTGTTTTGTTTTGTTTGATTTTGGTAGTACTTTCTTCTTCTTCTTCTAAGTCTAAAATTTTGATTCTGATTCATTGAATCATTGGTGTTGGGAAGGAAAAGAAGGGGGTTTATAGATATAAAGCCCGGACATTTTTAGGTCGGTTTCTGGTACTGGTACTGGTGCTTGTTCTTATTATGAGAAGGGATTACTATTATGATTTGCCCACTTACTAAATACCTATTTCTCATCACATCCTTGAGTTCCAGATGTACTGTAGCTCGTCGTGTTGCTACAAGTAATCTCATCCTAATAATACTGTACGTACAAACGGGTATCAAAATCCCTCCTTCCTTCTCCCTTCTTCCTTATTCATCCACAATCCCATAATCCCACTAACTCCATCTATCCCAATATCCCACTCCTCTTCCGCTAGGTACTCACTCTCTTGATACAGAAGAAAGCCGTTGAGCAGCACCCAAAGCAAGAGGAAAGACCGCCTTTTCAATAAGAGCCGACCCACCCCATCCCGTCTTCCTATCCTTGAGGATCCATGCCACATGATGCCTTTGCGAGAAACTTCGTATTTGAGGATTGAGTGGTGTTAAGTACTAAGAGTCATGGGTTGTCGTCCGTGTGGATACACCCCTTCATCGGACATGATTTGTGGAGGGCTTTTAGTATTTCTGCTTGGGTCTTAAGTTTCTCTTCTTCTCCTTCATCGTCCTTTTTCTTCTCTTTCTCCGCAACTTTTCCCTTAACTCTTTCCTTTTCTCGCTTAACCTTCTCTTCATCCCGAGCCATGTTTCGTTGGGTCCGGATATTTGGTTGAACTGCCTTCATCTGGTCCAATCGCATCTGTCGTTCCTCCCACCCCTTTCGCCAATTACATGATGGCAACGTACAGTTATTATGTCATTCCTCCAGTTCTTGATTTGTAGGGGCGCGTTTACTGGTTTTCAATGTTGTGGTTTGTTCTTCTGATGATGATGAGCCCTCGCCTCCTTTGCTGTGAGTGTTGGACATGTTGGTGGTATCTGTACCTGGTGGTAGTTTAGGTAGGATATGTAGTCCTGGTGGTGTTCTTGTGCGTGGTAGGGGTGTGTGTTTTCGTGGTAAGGGGGGCTGGGTGTATTTCTGGGGATTTGGTGGGGTTGAGAGGGTAGTGGAGGAAGAGGAGGAGGAGGAAGAGGTAGAGGGAAGAGTGTTGGTGTTGGAGTGGTATGCTTGTTGGCTCATTTGTAGTGATCTTGTGGTGATGGAGCGCTTTGTTGTATTGTCCTGAGATTCGTCTGTCGTCTCATCTAAAGATACTCTGACTTCACGGGTTTGGGAAATGGAGGTTGGTGTGGATTTATTTCCTACTGGCGAGGAGGGGATGACTCCTTAGGTAGGAACAGGTTAAGAAGACAATAAGAAGGGGTTCCATTGTTACTGGATACATCAGGGGAGTGAATGTCAGAGTGAGCTATGTATAATGTGTCATGGCTGTGCTGTAGAGTTACAATTCACTGATTCGTACAAGGCTATCCATATGAGTTCATGAAGACTGTTTCGTTCATGCGCTGCGCTAGATGCTGGAAATTCACTGTGTGTTGTTTGTTTGTTTGTTTGGCTTTGCTGCTTTTGTTTGCTTAGCGAGGTATGTGAGTGGGCTGGATGGGGGCAGTGAATTGTGGAGCTCCTCAGGATAAAAGGACTAGAGTAGACTATACTTCACTGTAGATGGGATAGTCTGCTTGGTTGTTTACTGTGTTATTTGTCTGCGTTTTTTGCTATTGTTTGGACATAGTGTCGCCTCATACATAACTTTACAAAGCTGTAAGTACTTGGTGATACATTGATTTTCCAAGTACAAAAACCACTGAATGCACATTGTATCTAGCGATATTAGATCTCGCACGTCTTCTCCTCGGAGCGAAATCTCAAATTCATATTATGTACATAGCATCTTCATAACTACATATAATCACAACTCGTCACCCTCCGCAAAACATATCAAGCGAAAGTACCCCATATCTGTACTGATTAAACATGTGAAGAATCCATGAAAACAACCCGTCAGTTTACCCCTCACCCACCTTAAGGTTCAAATTGAACGAGCAAAGTCTTCCTAGATACGTACCCCACCCCGCGGTGAGAAGAATCCACCCAAAGGAAAATTGTCTGAGCGTTTAGATAACACCAGAAGAAAAACATCCGATTGCTTTTTTCCCCACCCACTTTCCATATCAGACGCTTAGCAATTAATTTCCCCAGGAGAACGAGCTCCGATTCTAGAATGTTTCAATTGAGTAGCTGTTTAGCGGGCTGCTACAGAGAAAGCCAAAAGCCTAGATTTCCAAAGAGCTGAGAACTTGTGCAGATGGAAGAATCGGAAATGTAGAAAATACACAAGTCCAAGCTCCCCCCACTTTCCCACTAATTGGCTGGCCGTCGGCCCGTTGCATGTCCGATAGAGTTTAGAGTTCCTCGTCGAAAGAGGGAAAAACGTTTTTTACATGTGGATGCCGTGTCGGTTGTGGGTTGGGGTTAAGTTTTTTTGAATTGTGGGGTTCTTTTCCACCTCCCCTGGCAGGTGGGTATTTGCCGATTACCGATGAAGCGAGGGGCAAAGGATAATTTCTTGTTCCGCTTTTATGCATGCATATGTAGGAGAAGCATTGAATTGGGTTCTTCTGTACTTGTGGGGGAGTTGTGCAGATTCGGTAAAGGTAGAAGGCGGTGTATGATCGTACCTGTGAGATTTTGGTTGTGGAGGTAGATGTACTTTGACAGGGTTTGTAGAGAGCAGCTATCGTGTATACTGTGCATGAGTAGAGGGTCTTGGTAAGGCATGAGAAGAGTAAAGGATTGAAGGGAAGAAAGGAAGCGTGCGGGGTATCTGGATTCGAAAAGTATACAGAGATATCATCACCCGGACGATGCAAGAAAACTTCGACAGACAAGGCAAAACCTCCACATTTAGAAAACCCGAGAAGGCCATTTTCAAAGATGGGGAAGAAAAGCTAGAGCTGCAAACGGAAAACTTCGAGAACTTAAGGGCCCGAGGGCGGTGAATATCCATGCTAGTACTCGTAGCATCCTGCGACAGCAAGGAAAAGTGTACTTTAGGATACCATAGGTGTCAGGTATGCAATGTCATGCATATGTTTCTCTCTGCCGTAAAATTTACTCCACTTCCTCGCATAAACGCCTATTTGTTGTACGGTATTCTTGACTGTGATCGGACATAGGCGTTGGACATGATGTAGGTGTATGTATGATGTATGCACATGCAGTCCAACATGCATTTAGCAAGGAATAGACATGATGTGGGAGAATGGAGCTCAATTCCATGTAATGGTACGTACATATACTTGGTTGGTTGTGAGAAAATTGGGGAAAAAGTCAATGGCGAGAAGCTCACCCGTTGATATCTTATACATACTCCAACGTAAGTCCCCGAAAAGGGTGCGTTTGATAGAGAAAATGAATACACTGTAATAATAACATGGTATACCTAGAAGTGGATAGCTAAGTGTTGGCTTTGTAGTTCATGAATCCATACCGCATGCAGAACAAACGAGTCTCGTATCACGAATCCACTATCTGACTGCCGACAAGAAAATCGCAGCAAGAATAAAACTTATAACACAAGAGAGAAAAAGCAGATTTTTACCCTTCGATTGAGAGAGCCAGATCCGAGGGCAAGACAAAGTATTGAAGCAATTGAGGGTATAAATACGTGTGAGAGTTCCCCTAGAATGATTTCGATAACAAAAGTTCGTTTTGCGAATATTGTAAGGGGAGCAGTATGGCGCCTTAATCAAGCCAGCCACCAGACCATTCAATGTCCCATTATCATAGTTAGCGGTTCCCAACAACTTAAAGGGTTGAGAATTCTTGAGGAGAGGACCAAGAAACAATGGAGCAGCCAGTATTTGGAGTGACCACCTCACTCCCGTCAATTATGGGGTTCGGGGCCAGAGGGAAGGAATGACTACACGATCTTACCCGGGATTGACATGCAGGTTCAAAGGTCGGGTTCCATCATGATCCAACTCAGACTAGCTTACCTATAACAACCCCCTTGGATGCAGACTTTCTTCAATTGAGCCTTCCATTTCCCCCAGAAAAATGCTCCAGTCCTTCGCAAGAGCGACGCAGTCAGGCTGTAATTAACCACAACAATGTGTCCTCAATCATACCTCGTTGTAGTAGCTACTGTACCTATTAGAGAGTATTAAGCCTAATTATGTTCTATGAATCTGCAACTATTAGCAGTGGCATGGTGGAAGACGAAGCAGCTGTGGGAATGTTGTAGTACCAATCTGATCTTATAATTGGAAATTTATTTAGCTCTATTGGCTATACCATACGTTTGAAGGATGGCTGTGAGAAATAGAGGCTATTGGGTACAAGGGTTTAAGCGCTTGCAACAGATGTAGATATAGGCGGTTGTGTTTATATATACAGCCATTGTAGGGCTTACATCTATTCTAGTCTTCTGAATTATCAACAGTTGTGTAGCATTGAACCTTTTCTTTATGTAGTAGTCCTTGTTATGAAGTCATCTTTAGTCAACTATTGCGGAAACAATGTGCATTTTATAACCGTCTACATTTTTTATATCAGGGGGGAAAGGCTATAGATGCGTACCCTTATTTAAATATTTTAGAGTATGAGAGTTGGAGTAAAGACAACGGTCATAAAAATTGACCCTTGTACTACGGTGTTAGACTTGAGAGTAGAGGTGGTTGTCTAGGTCTAGGATGGTGGAGCCCATGGCTCAGCTATATGTGCACCATACTGGCTAGGTTCGCTCCTGCCCCAAAAACGGCGTAGTATCACAATCTTCTCAAATATTATCTAGGTGTAGCGTTAATTAACACAGTCCTGACAGTTATAAATACTCGTAACGGCTAAAAAGATAACACTGCATGCACTACAACGTATATTAGAATAGGGTTTTCCCATTAAGGTAGACCACTCTGACCTTCCCATTTCTTGATTGATCATCCCCCAAATATTGAAACGAGTAATACGTAGAAAGCAAGTATAAGTATACCTATTTGTATAACTAGTGAGAGAAACGCAACTTTATCATGCTGCACAAAACTTCCATGTCGCATCCTCAGCTATATAACGTCCACCTATATCAGCCAGAAAAGCGGTCGAAAACCCTCCTGTTTGTTGATGGCCAAGTATCTTATCCGCCTCATCGGAGAACGGAAAGGGACTTTTGTGACATAGAAATCCCTCTAGTCGAGTCAACACACCCTCGCTGCGCAAAAGCCCATCTTTGACTGACGATCCCCTGCCAGTTTCCCAACCAACAATGTTATTATCCTCCAAACACCAAAATTTCCCTCCAATTCAACGGATGTCAGATTAGTAACCTTCGCCATCTTCCAGAATGCTTGAGGAATGACCCCAAGATCATCACTAGCTACTAGTACTCGCCAGTTACAAAGTCTGAGAGACTTCAGAGTCTGCTTGTGTGCTTCGAGGAATTCGAGCAGAGCCTCTGGACCCATTTCTAGGTTCACCAATTCTAGCTTTTGAAGATTGGGCATCCGATGTTGGATAAGTGCACTCGAAATCTTTTATTGACACCCTTCCACCTCATTGGTGCGTTCCTTCAGACTGCAGAACTCCAGCACCAGAGTTTTCAGATCGGTGCAACCCCTCAAAAGAGACATGAGGTATATACTTGAAGAGTGGGGTTTGTGAAGACCGCTAACCGTGACATACGGACTATCCAAGCAGAACCTCAAGACTTCCAGTGTACTTAGTGCCTTCGTATAAGGATCCGACAGAGCATAATCAGGAGGACGGATATGAGAAAGTGAAAGGCTTCTCAGTTTCATTTCCACGTCTGAAGCGGCCCAGTTCAAGATATTCCCCGTACCGAAGTTGCCAAAATACATATCATTCATCCCTGTGAGACCAGTTCGTCTCTGTGAATAATGCGTATTCCTCGCTGCTTCTGCGTATGTGATCAATTCCATCGCTTCTAGATTCGGAAACTGGCGGAAGACTCCTGAGATGTGGTCCAGCCAGTGGGTTCCAGCGTCGCCCGTGTAACCAGCTACATCATCGCCTGCTCTGTACTCTTTGATAACGGCCCCGTGCCAGGCTTGTAGTTGCTCATGTGAAATGGAGTCCAGTATATCTTTGTCTTCTTGCGCACCGTTGGGAGAAGCATTCGCCTGCGAATTCTGCAGGTCCTTGCGCAATATCTTGCAAAACGACGAGTAGGATAAGTCATGTAATCGCCATTCACGCCGATCGAGGGAGATGGAATGCACGTAGCGGGCGAGTTCTGGAGATTGGCTGATTTGCATTAATCTTTCTCCGCTGAGCCTATTGCGACTTAAGTGAAGTGTGTGGAAGAGAACTGGAGTGATAGCTGCATTGAACGCATGGTTGACTAGGCGGAAATTGTGGAGGTCTGAGTGAGACCAGGAAGGAGTGACGAAGCTAAGAATGGTATCTTGGATTTCCTGGGCGAGGTTACTGAAGGAATATCTGTTTATTTCCATGGTGAGCGGATTAGAGAACTGAGCGCGCGTGTATGAATGGATTGAAAGGCAAAGATTTAGGGAAATATGGTTGTTGTCCGTACCCTGATCAGATTAAGAATAAAACACCAGCGATTGGACATGTCGTACATGTAGAACAGCGGCACAGCCTTGATTTGAACTCTCATGCCATACGTAGTAAGCAAAAATGTGGAGCCTTACTGGAAAGAGGCACAGTCACTATCACCCAATAGGAAGAAGCCAAAAGGAACTTCTGAAAATGAATTTGTTTTCATATGCAAGGCACCTACTCAAGTATTAAAAAGAAAATACCCTAAAGCCACATGTGTTTACTAAATACGTCCCTGATCTCATCAAACAACAATGGAAGTATTGGGTCGCTTTCCAGTTGCAGAGTTGTGAGAATCAAACAGTATTACCTCCCAAAGCTCCCTGATCAAGATTTTGTAAATGCCATGTAGCAGACGACGATGAATGAATGCCAAAATCCCACATAATTAGGACCTTTATCAGATTGTCTTTCGATATGCATGCCCACATCAACAGGTCTCGCATCGTCATCACAACTCTCTACACTTACCCCCCCCCTCCCCAGCCCAGCACATATCATTCTTGATATCATTACCACGAACAGGACCACGATCGTGGCTGTCCAGGTCTCAACCGTTGTTTCCAGTCCCCAGTCTCGATTTTCTGCTTGTGTGGCGATGGAAAAGTGCTACGTTCAGATTGACGAGATTTTTGAAGTTTCTCTCGCACCTTCTGAAGTTCCTTGTAACAGAACAGACATTGTCGCTTATCATCTGCGAAGGCGTTTATTGCTTCAGAGAATCCCTTCTTGTCTCCTAGCTGCACAGAGTTCATGTATGCCAGAACTCTTACTTGGGATGAAAGGCTGATTTCTGGCCCTTCAGGTAAGGTGGTGTTGTTCTTGTCCTCTGTGTTGGCTTTGCAGTTGGCGATCTCAGAGAACGGTGGAGTTGGGAGGAGGTGTGGGATGATGTTTGTCATCTTATGTGTACGGTATTCTGTGATAATCAGGAGACTTTTGAGTCTGTGATAGTAAAGTAAAAACAGGAGAGGGAGATTGCGCATTAAATAAGATGATTTGTTTTTCGTATGGAGGATGGAGGAGAATTTAAGACTAAAGGCAGACTTTTAGATACATTATAACATTCTCCTTGTGAATGGAAGATTGTGACATGAGAGAAAGGATCTGAAGAGCTTGAATAGCATACTGACTATATGTGAGCAAGCTATACGACTCTTCACTATTACTTGGTCATTCTTGGTTTGATTGGTTTCTAGCTATTACGACAACAATGAAGTGAATGAATAGAGTATGAGTAATTTTTCTGACTTACTTGCACTGAAGACTTCTGGGAAAGGTGAAGTTCTTCAGCGCTACTCAATAAACTTGACGGTGAAACCTTAAGTAGATTTTGTTTTTATTACTCCCCCCTCCTTCCCACCCCTGAACAAAAGGTCATTTCGTGTAAAGTAGGTATATGTTATAGATCCTAGCGGAGGCAGTATAAACCATAACTTTTACTAATAATTTGTACTTAGTCTTTGACAGAGCCTATAAAATGTACTGACATTATATTGAATAACCTTTCGTTTGGGTGGGGGGAAAGGGAAAGTAGAGACTACTAGGTTTTGTAGATAGAAATTAACTTGATTAGCGATTTTTAAACTCAAAGATTAAGAAGAATGTAAAACTCAAATTACATAAATTAAAATCTAGCATTGAAAGTACGGTAAGATTATCCACAAATTAAACCAACTCTATTCAATTACCCAAAAGTACACGGTGTCCTAGAAAGAAGGTTTTTTCGTCACTAATTGCTTTACTACTAATTGGTAAGTGAAGTAGCAAATGATTTCTTTCTGTTTTCTATTAGCGTAACTTAATCCAAATAATTCAAGTGCTCTAGTTTATTGGACTAATCAGAACGACTCTTAGGATAATCAAAGTGTTTGCCTTAAATTGTATGATACTTTGTGTATCCTAGGTCAACTTACCCACCCAACTGTAATAAAAGAAAAGGAATCCCTGCTATTTCTTCTTGTCTTCTAAGAGCCATACCCTAAATTACCACACTGAACAGCAATTGCATATTGTAAGAGTACCACAGACACCCACTGCAAAAGCGCTCTATTTATCTATCAGAAACCCACAATACAGACAAAATACCATAAAACACCATCAATATCCCAACCCCCAAAAGAACTACCTCAGAAAGAAGAAACTAATACCACCTCTCACCACCACCTTAACTTCCCCCTTAATAGCACCACATTCTCATTGAGTACTCCCTCAACTCGTTCCTCTCTACCATCTACGTATCCACAAGCCTGTCCACAGACCCATCCACAAACCCAATCTCCTTTCCCAAGAGTCTATCATATACTCAGCCCAAAGACATCTCCAGCACTATCCCTCCTGGCTCTGAACAAGCAAATCTTCAAGCATGAAGTCTCGCGTGCTAGTCTGAATCTTAATTATTAAAGACAGAGAATGAAATGGCTTCTAGAAAGGATGAGGTATACATGCAAACGTAGGTTTTGCTTGAAAATTGATTAGGGATTTGATATGGTGCGTAGATGTGTTTGGACACGCTATTTACCAGGAAGGAGTTCGTGGATGAAGCTCGTTTTGGGAACATAGAATGATGGATAATAGCGAAGGGGAACATAGATCCAGCAACAATACAGCTAGAAAAGTGTTACGAATCAATTCAAGTCTAATACTATTCTCGTGCGAAAGAAGAAAGGAACAGCAGAGTCTGAGTAGATCGCCACCCAAAGGATATCAAGACAACTAACAAATTATTATTTCTTTTTCTACTTAACCAAGTACTTCTCAAATCCAATATTCTCCAGCTTCCCAGCTTTCCCACAAACCTCCTCCTCGCTGTTCTTGGCAAACTCCACCAATTTCTCCTGAATCGCCGGATCGGTAGCCCCCAGGATACGAGCAGCGAGAAGCGCAGCATTGATACTGTTGTTAATCGCGACTGTAGCCACTGGTACCCCACGAGGCATCTGGACGATACTAAGTAAACTGTCCATACCATCCAAGGTACTGCCCTTGACTGGTACACCAATCACTGGCAATGGCGTGCAAGCAGCAATCATACCAGGGAGATGAGCGGCACCACCTGCTGCGGCTATAATAACCTTGAACCCCGAAGCTACAGCCGAAGATGCGAAATCCATCATGCGGGCTGGTGTGCGATGAGCAGAGGTGATTGTAACGTGATATGGAATTGATAGGGTTTCAAGGAGAGCAAGTCCAGGCTTGAGTACTGGAAGGTCAGAATCTGAACCCATTGTGATTGCAATAAGAGGCCCTTGTGAGAGAGAGCGAAATGGAGAAGATTTTGATTCGGCAGGTGAGATGCCCCTTCTTTCCGCACGCATGTTGTTTGCTAGGTTAATTAATGGTTCGACCAAAGATTCGCCCAGTGAAGGAGACGCAGCAACCACTGTGATATGTCCGATTTTACGCCCGGGTTTCGAATCCTTGCCGTACATGTGTAGCGCAGCGGTTGAGATTTGGACTGCTTCGCTCATCAGCTTGTTGTGGGAAGATTTTGATGATCCACCCAAAATATTCAGCATGATTGCTGAAGGAACCATGGCTGGGATGGTATTATTTGGGAATGATGGCATGATGCCGAGTATAGAAAGAAGTTGCGACTTATACTGTGACATTGTTGGACAAGCCTCGATCGTATAATGCCCGGAGTTGTGCGGTCGTGGAGCGATTTCGTTTACGATGAGTTCTCCATTTTCCATCAAGAATAGCTCAACGCCAAAAACACCTTTTCCCCATAGACTTCCTACTGCTTTTCGTGCAAGATCCTGTGCTTCCTTCTGTTGTTTTATAGTGACGCCCCGTGGAGGCAAGTAAACTAGTTTACAAACACTATCTTCATGGATTGTTTCCACGGCTGGGTATGCGATTGTGCCCTTGGAATCCTGTGACGCCTCGTCCTCTGTCTTCACAACCACAACTGCGAGTTCCAACTTGAAGTTGGCCCATTTCTCGGCATATAAAGATCGGTCTTTCAACACCTCGAGAGCTTCTTTAATATCAGCTGGCGATTTGACCGGAAAATTACCTCGACCGTCGTAAGCGTCCTTCCGGGCCTTCAACATAAAGGGATATCCCAATTCTTCTCCAACCTCTCGTAAATCTCCATCGGCATCCCTGGAAACCACAGTGGCTACCCCATTTTGCGTAAAGTGTGATTTCTGCAGATATTTGTCTTGTATCGTTCGAAGCGTCTTCCAACTTGGTTGAACCTCGACCTTTTTTGTTCGTTTGCTGCCGTCATTTTCTGTAACCTCGACTCCTTTCTCTGCGACTTCCTCAAGCACATGAGTATCGACATGCTCAATTTCTACTGTCAAGATATCAGCCTGTCTTGCCAATTCTCGGATCTTCTCCGCATCCACAAACGAGCCATTGAGATGAGGTGTTTTCGCGTTGACTTGTTTTGCAGGAGAGTTCTCTGCGTCGAGGATGATGACTTTGATTCCGAGCGGATTGGAAGCTTCGCATAGCATCTGACCAAGTTGTCCGCCCCCAAGAAGACCAATTGTTCGTTCCATTTTGTTGGCGGCTCGAGGGAAGATGTTGGCGGGGTAGCTTTGGTGGGGTAGTGTTTTGTGAGGAGAGCAGATTCACAAAAAGTTGCGACAAAACGAGCCTTGACCCGGAGTTTTACCGCGTACCCTCTACGGCACAGTATCGGCTCTGGAATCGTGTCGGGTCCGCTAAGGATACCTCGGAATTCACTCGGCCCGAGATCGGCGCAGGTAGGTACAACGTCAACGTCTTGAACAAATTATAATTATGGTATTAAGTATCTAATCTCAATCTTCTCTCTCTCTCTCTCTCTCNTCTCTCCCCCCCCCCCCAAAAGAATAGGTAAGCCTTAATAGTCCCGCGGAAGATAATCCCTTGGTATGTTCCATAACTCCAATAACCCTATGTGAACCTTTCCAAAACACCTTAGACCGCTCCGCAGTCTTCAACCAGATTTCCACGACCCCAAAAAAACAACCGATATCAAACTTGTGTTCGCTTCCAGGGCCAGGACCAGTGAAAGAGGCTGCCTCGAATTCCCAGTACCCCAACGTCGACGCCTCCAAGTCTCAGTAGAAAGCGTGGCCAACCGCCAAGTATGTGGACGAGCGATCCAAGCACCCCGCTGTGTTGCATTATACTTTGCCTAGCAGGCTTTTGGGAAACTTGAAGCTCTACTACTGCTTCCTGTTTGGATGCGGATTTCTCCATGGCCGGTTTCTTTTCTGTCTCGGTTGACGGCGGTTGGGGTTGGGATTTGCGAATTTCGAAATAACCTCTCTTGCCAGGACGGCCCTCCACCCAGCCTCCCTCCACAAGTCCCGATTGCAAAGCATCCTTTATAATCTTCGACTTGACCACATATATGATTGGACTATCCATAAACTGGAACGTGCAATTGTGCCACGGGGTTGGGATGTGTAAGAGGTCACAAGAGGGTCCCTCTGATTCGGTACAGTCTTCTATAGAACGGACTGTCTTGACAAATTTTTTATCAAACATACGAACACCGAACTTTGGACCACTGTTGGTGTGCCTACTCAACTACATTAGAAGTGACGGCAAGAATTTGTGATCAGGACTTACGCATGAATCGACAATCTGACATGATCTGGGAAGAGGAGCTCTACAAGATTAGAATACGCTTGATTCCTCTTGATCGAGTTAGTAAAGACTCGTCATACCAAGGAGACTGCACATACCATAATCATTTCAAAGGAAACCTTGACTGAGAGCTTCTTTCGCTGACTTCGACTCATTGGTTTTGTGTACGGGTGAAGATCCAAATCTTCCAACATAAATCGAGAGAACCCTCGATAAAGTGCTAGTATGGAAGGCTCCTGAGAGTCGATTCTTCGTCGGAGGTTGGCCTTTTCGGACTGGCAACCTGACATCAAGACTTGCCTGGAAAGCTCCGCTTCAGTGGTGACCTTGGTATTGAGGAAGTGATCGATATTGGGAATGTCGAGACTCGAAACAGTGTGACTCGAGGATTTGAGATCAAACAGGTCTACCAGCGACTTAAACCCGACACGGTCTGGACCCTGCTCCTGTGATGCAATTGAAGCATTCATTCCGACCAGACTGGCCGTGTATGCGTCAACAAGATCATCATCGACTCCAACTGTTTGTTGTTAGACTGCGATCTAATAGCTCGGTGGTAGTAGTACTCACTGCAGTCACTGAAGACATGGCCGTCGCTAATAATCCATACCTTAGCACCTGGCGTGTATATGGCCTCGACTTCACGAACAAAGCTATGCAGCATTCTCAGAGCCATTTCTTCCCCTCTGTCTGGCATAGTGCCCATGACTTTTTCGGTATTCGATGATTTGCATGGGAAGGCCGGCAAGCAGAACTCAACCTTCGCATTACTTGAAGTAAAGAAAGCGACTTTGTTCTTGAAAAAGGTTCTTCCACCTTGACCCCATTCGTCTTTCGAGCCGGAGTTTCGAAGATAGTTATCGAAAAGGTCAACAATAGCATCAGTACATTCTCTATCGGAGGAATATGGCGCTGGCTTATGGAGATGCAAGTGCATTTGGTTGAGCAGCAGAGAGATGAAGAAGTTCTCAAAAGGGTTGTCAAGTCCGTTGGGCGAGGTTTCCAGTACCAGGCCAACAACATCGTCCTCTCCGTCCCTTCGCTTTTCGTAGACTGTTAGTTCAACAGAGCTTGGTTGCTCTGAATCATGATGTGATAATCTTTGTGGACCGTCGGCGAGATTGGTAAAAGTTGTTGGTAGCTGAGGTCGTATGATTTCCCAGTTCGTTTCAATTTTCTGGTGCTTCGCCTCGATGGTTCTGATCAGCTGTCCGTCTACCGACCGGATATAGACAGCTTGTGTTCTATGGTAGACACTACCGCCTGAATTATCAAACTCCATGATTCCGTTGTCTTAATGAGAACTTGAGGATGGATAAATTAAACTGGACAAATCGGATATTGCAGATCGAATACAGAGCGTGTTGAAATATGTTGGATAAATAGAAAGTTGCAGATCTAGCCTGTTGATCTTTTAAGGATCAAGAGACAGACTGTGACTTCTGCTTATGACTGAGCATTCATTCACGGGCAACATCCACGCCCATGGCTGAGCTCCATTTGCTGCGGTCTACAACAATCGTTTCGTGTTTGGCTGGCTTCTGGTCTGATAGGAATATCTTTAACGAACGCCACGGGGCCATTCGTTGCCCATTCTGTTGGTCTAATTGCTTACTAGTAGTGGTTTCATGGAACATTTACAACTAGCCCCTCACAAAATTGGCAACGCCCTGTAGTACTGTACCGTGATCAATCGTCTCTAAGGCATGTGGGTAGGATGACAGTGGATGGCGCTAAGGGCATCCCGTAGACTTTGAGTGACTAGAAGTCTACGCAAAAGGCATTTTTCTCCTGCTTAAAGATCGTGATTGAACCCTTCTTGCTGGGGTCCGTAGAAGGCTGGTCTCTAAGTGGCCTAGAAATTGATATTTGCCGACCCCTGCCCTACTGTATCCCTTGTCGTCCCACACACGTGCCTTAGACGACTTATCACTTTATATGTACCGGTACATGTCTGTTAGGGGGTCTTTTCAATGCCGTTTGTTTATGATCTTCTTATTCCTGCACGTTCTGGGAAGGAGAAACGTCCCACTCCTGCAGAGGGGCTGGATCTCTTGGAAGGAATCGATGGTCCAGACCAAGGAGTTCACTACCAACAACCCATTTGGATTGGGCGCAGACTCACAGAGCCTCAGAACCCTTGTAATACAATATCTCATTGGCCAGCCTGCTAGACTTGGCCTGGATACCCGCTCGTAAACCCAATCCCGCAAACGAGCCTTGGCTGTAGATTAGATGACAGCGTCAACATGTAGGTGCCCTTGGAACGGCGAGCGCCACAATGGGTGGTTTTTTGTTCCCGCTGATATGGTGCGAGTACGAGTAACTATGCCACCTCTTTTGGCCTTTGCAGCAAAGAGGTGATTGTTTGCTAAGCTGGCTATTTTGTTTTACTTTTAATACAAAAACAGGTGTAGCACTGTCGCTGCATGAAGCTGAGAATTGTTAAGCATTGTAGACTTATGAAATCTTAGTTAATTAATCAATTTTATATACGGTTTTAGATCATATTGAGAGGTTGTGGAACTACCTGCATTATTTTGCGCTATATCATAGAAAGCAGATATTATACTTGTGTGACACTTGACCGAATTGATGATATACGAATTGTATGGCCTTGGGTCGATATCTCAAGACGTCATGAGCTTAGAACTTGCCCCTGTAACATGTCTGGAGCCTAAAATCGCTTTACTTCGGCCATGTTCTTTTACAAATGAAGGCATGTTTAATCTGTTCGGGAATAAGTGCATCTTGGAGACTACAAAGAAATTTATGGATTGTAAGCCCGCACTTCAAGGCCGTTTTACTGATAGGTTTCATAGTAGGTGCGAGGTTGAGAGTAAGACTGAAAGCTACTTGTAACTCTGGAGGCACATTTACTTGGGGATTCTAGTCTACTTTGCTTGCTAGCGGGCTATAACTAGATAGCTAGCAACATCTTCTAGAACAGGCAGGCATATCTGAAAGTGCAAATTGGGCCCTGTCTCAATTGGCTAGGTGATTTTGTACTTAAATTGCCTCTATATACTATTTCCTATTCAGGTACGCCAAGGCAGCGAGCTACTGTATTAGCTGTTGTGTCCAAAACCCAAAGAAGGCGCCATCCGAGATGCATCTTGCCAAGAATCGACCATATATTCAAGATGCGAGTTCGTATATGACTTTGAGAGTCTTATCATGGATCCCGCAAGGTCGCTGTCTCTTCTAGACCACAGAGGTGCAATATAACGTGTCCTCGAATCTCGAATCGCACGGGATATAAGCGGATGTGATAATTGGGGCTCAAATGCTTGAAAACGCTGCCTGGTAAGCCAAACGAGTTTGTCTTACTGGGTAGATATTGTAAAAGTGGACTCTCTTGCTCCACTTTGAGTGCACGCGTAGTTTGTACCGAGTAGAAGTAGAAGTACACGGTGGAAGGGATAGGGGTCCGTGTCAAATCCAAGATTTGTCTTGCTTACGTATGATAGAGCCAAATACTGGGTTTTTGGAGGAGCAATGACTAAAGGGCAATCGTGAACTTTGTTTCTATGCCGGCGTACGGTAGTTCTGCGAAACAAATCTGAGTAGTCAGTATTGTAATAACCCCTGAATAAGGAGACGGGAAGGGATATGTACACATGGCTCCATCGAAACCTAGCTTACTGGTACTGTACGATACCAATATTTTGGTTGGTTTTTAAACTCGTTTTCCATTCCTCAACTTGGGGAAATATTTGGATTCCGCTACCAAGGATAAGCCAGGATTTCATGCGGCGGCATATATTAGCACTATATTGACAGCTCGCAAGCTGAAATGATACGAAGTAAGTCGCTTAAACCTCGCAACCTCGTATTACACCTTGACCGAATGAATGAATGGTCAATTAAGACGAAATAACAGTACAGTACCTGCGGTTTTTAATAATATCACCTGCCTGATATGATGCTCCTAGACAAGGTTGTGCGAGTGAAAGCGCTGACATGTGCAGCTGAATCTGTGCTGTTCTATGAAAACGGTTCAAACCGAGATTGATGTCCTTCAAGTGGGCCAGCCCAGCCAGGGACCTCGTGTGGGGCTTCCCAAAACTCGGTTGGGAGAGAAAGTCAATACTCTATGGGTGGATCTGCAGTAGGGAACATAACCGAGTGTTAATTGTTTCGGATATTCAACGACGCTCGTCGTCTCTGCACCCACAATATCAAGACGATACGCCAGTCATAAGTTTGTTTCGTGATGGAGTAAGGAACGAAACGGGCGAAAGAAAGGGACATGGCCCCTACCAAGATAAAGTCACCGAAACCATGAGATCTTTGAACCCCTCAATACTAAGAAGCAGGTTGTGAAAAGAATGCCTCTAGAAGGGAGATAACCTTGTTTATGTCCGAAGAATGAGTTTGTTTGCATTGAAATATTAACTGGCTACTACCCAAAAGTGGTAGTGGATCTAGGAATCCCTGAATTCTCATTAAGAGCGGGATTTTGGATGTGGCCCCTAATATTCTCGAATTCGAAATTCAGCGAAATTAAATGTACATGAAAGATCTTGCTACGATGCGGATTGCCAGCCTCTAAAAGTCACCCTTCTCGCCCACAGTCTTCTCCCGCGCACGAAGAACAAGTTTCAAAGCACGAGGGTACAGCGGCCCAGCCTATTGACAAGAGAATTAGCTTAAGTTAGTGTCGACTTACTGGATCACTAGATCCATAAAGCCGAGGAAAATGGTGGAGAAAGCTCACAGGTGTCATCCTCTCGGTCCACTCTGGATCAAGGCCCCATTCAAACCCTCTCACCAAGTACGCAATACTGACCCTTGTCTCCAACATCGCGAACTTCTCTCCCAAGCATGCTCGAGAGCCTCCGTGGAATGAGATGAACTCTGCTCTCGCTGTTGCTTTCCTGTATCTTTTACTGATCTCCTCGCTTGTGATGCCCCACCTTTCAGGGACACATTCGTTTGCGTCGGGGCCCCACGTTCTGGAAGACCGGTTGGTGGAGTAGGCGTTATAGCCTACGAATGTGTTCTCGGGAATGATGATCTTTGAACCGAGAAGAACAGGTGTGGATGTGCGACGATTGATCAGTTGAGAAATAGGAGGGAAGAGACGAAGGGCTTCGTAGATTGTCGAGGTTAGGTAGGGGATTTCGGTTAGAGCTGCCACGGTTACCGTGTTGAGATCTATATGACTTGTTTCGGCTCTTACTCGATTTTGGATGTGCTGCATTGATGTCAGTACTGTTGGATGAAATCTAAGATCTACTTACAGGATATTTGGCCAGCAGATACATGATCGAAGTCAACAATAGCTGGGGATTCTCTTGCCCTGCGACGAAAGTCACATTCAAGTTATCGTGGAGCTGCTTGTCATCGATGAGACCTTCGTTTCGAGCTGCAAGTAGCCTGATTCCGAGCTTATCAGAGCTTAATGAAGGGGTTGTGCCTTCATGGCTCTTGGTCAGTGTACGATCAAGTTCTTGAGAGAAGCTCTCAACAAGCTCCCTAGCTTTGATACGACTAGGAATAGGTAGGCGATCTAGGAAAGGAAAATTCATGAAAATCGGTTGAAATATCTGACCCTTCACGGCTGATTGAAGTACGTTGAGTTTTGCATTTGGATCCGAAAGGGTCTAAAATGATATTGTGAGCTGAGAGCTTCTGTGAACATATGCTTAGCTTACTTGCTTACTTGGAAATCCGTTTGGAGAAGGCATTGAGATATGTTTGCAATAGTGTACCGTTGCAGCAGCCCCTGAACGGGGATACCATTTCTTCCAACAGCACGTTGTGAATCCCCCAACAGTTTGCAGAGTAAAGCAGCATTGGAGAAGAGCAACTCTAACTCCGAATCAAAATTTCTCTGCAAACCAGGACGAATAATACTTTTGTATAGCTTGTGGTTCTCTCCTCGTGCAGAGATTATATTGTCGCCTTCAACAATCAGCAGGTGAAAAGTCAAGTGAGGAAGCGTTGCTCACCAAGAAATTGAGCGACGACAGCGTGGGGGATTTTCTTCTGGTTTCCAGTCTTTTGAAAAACCTCTTCATCTCTAAATATCTCAGCGAGGTACGCTGAATCCTGAACGATGATGTTCCAACGAGCTCCAAAGAAGATCTTGGCAGCTCCATACTCTCTCAACGGCTTTTCTAGGTACTTATGATAAGTGTCTGTTTGATCGACATCTTTGAAGAAGGGTATTAGAACCACCCAGAATGGTACCGCCGGGATATTCTGAGGGTGTTTTGGTGGTAGACAAACGAAGTAATGAAAAAAAGCACAGCAGAGAAAGATTAACTCAAGCGCAGCTTGGAAGCAAAAAATGAAAGACATGGTTGTTGTGAGGTGAGCTTGGAAAGGTTGCAGGCTTTCCTGACGAGCGAAGTAAAGAACTCTATGTGAAATAAAACGAGTAACTGTTTGCCTGCCACATACCTTCTAGCCCAGCCCCTACAGCCACCAAGTGGATGAGCATGAGCAAGGCAAGGCAAAGATAAGATGAAGTCTAAAACGCGCAGCTGCTGACCACTAGCGCTAGGAATATTTACTACGGAGGTATGCAATTCAAGACCCTTGACAGATACCATGTGACATCCAAGCTCATTATTCCCTGCAACATCTTACTGCACTGTTGTCACCAATAGCAAAGATTCACTAGATTTGAATGTAACATATTCTCTAGAGTAGAAGCCCAGCGAGGATTTCAGTGTGTAACCATGTCATGGTCTGGTAACGAACCAATCTATGAACCATGAACATATTGCATTCACGACAGGTACGCAGGTCAACCTCTTCGTATTGATAACTTCTTAATATCTTTTACCGAATACCAGAAACGATTCATTCACTAATACATACCTTCATCTCGCCCAGCGGACACCTTTGTACTCCATAGGTAATGTCAATAATTTTGGATGATCTTGAATCTGATATTTGCCCAATTCCTTCTACGTAAGAGTACGAGCTCAGGGCAGTTTGAGCTCATAGTGTCAAATCCTAGAGGTCCCAAGTGTCACTGGGTCACAGTTTTGGCTTGGCCATATTGGAAGACCCTTGGAATTGCCCTTGCTATTCTTTTCTTAACTCGATTTAGAAGTACATTTCCATTGACCTCTGACGTTGGGGCTACAGTGGCAAGAATGTCACCTTCCTATGACACAACCGAGCACAAATGAGCATGTTGTACAACGTAAGACTCGAAGTGCATTTGCATACAGTAGTCTTACACTAATACAAAGTACAGTTGTGCTTGGCAGCACCCATGTGAGAGCCGCAATAACTAGCACGGCATAACGACCTTTCCAAGTGAGTGGTCGCACCTGGGCGCCCCTCCCAACTATCTGTCTATAGTGGGCTTTATTATATGTAAATTACTTACAGGAGAATCTAGATACAAGGATATGCTCAGGGGCAATTGTTAGGTGTGTAACCGGGGCTATACTCATAGAGAGGGTTTAAACATAGGCGACGACGCGGTTGACAACCCAAATTCGAGGCATATATGTACAGTGCCTAGTAATGCTTGTATAGAATTGGCAGGTCCTAGCTGTATACTTAAATGTTTACATATAATACTCCTTGAATATAGAGGAATTATAACAAGTTGCTATCCTGTAAGGACACAAGCAAGCATATTTATAATATAAGAATGATTTAGGACCTAAAAGAAATAAGGATTATCTTTATATTAAGGCTATCCTCAAGTCCCCATTCCTCAACAGAATCGGAACCTAGAGTTCAAGGATATAACTGAGGATACTGTATAATCATATCGAGGATTTTGTGGATTCTCACAATTTCTCAGACATACGAAGTTGTCTTTTCGCCCATTCTATTGGTGAAGATTAAGAAAGTGGCTCTGGATTCCGTAGCTGGTACTTACATAGCACCGTGGTAAGGGCAATCAAACGTGACACACTATTTCTAAAAGAGGAGTGAATCCACCATACGAGGCACAGGAATTGACAGCTGAGACTCTCTATCAAGTACTGCTATCTGGTTTCACGAGGTTATATGACTCCGCAGAAATCAAGCCTCAAGAACCCTGCACCACAAGATACGGATTAGGAAGGGTGCAGCCAGGACTGCTCCAACTATTTTGTTCGTGATCTCCAATACAGTATTTGTTTCAAGGATTTTTCAATCTTGAACCCGCAAAAGTGGAGGAGTATTTGAGCCTAGAAGCTTACAGTACTCTGAACAACACTCACAGCTTTCAACGAATCTTTATCCACTCCCTTTCTAAATCATTCAATTCTATCAACAAATCATTCTTCACTTCTTTCCCAAATCTGACTCCGCTTCTCTCATCTTTCTTAAAAATGGCCGACCAGGGGAAGGCACACTCGTTCAAAAACAGCGTAACTACCATAGTAGCAGGATCGCAAGAAACATTATCAACAATGAGCGAGAAACCAACACTCGTACCAGGAGCTGCAGGGCCAAAACCGGCTCCATCAGCGCTTTCCGACACAGAAGCGCAGCCAGTAAAACCTCCACCTTATTCTGGGTTTTCGCCTGGGAGAAGGAGATTCATACTGGCTATAACAACCATTGCAGGGTTTATGGGACCTCTTGCTGGTGGCATCTATCTTCCAGCACTTCCAGTTTTGAAGGATGAGTTTAAGGTCTCTGCGACGGCAATTAATGCTTCCGTTACAGTTTTTATGGCAATGTTTGCCGTTGGTGTAAGTTCTCAAAGCTCCGCCCTACCAATATACCATTGTAATTGTTGAGTATTGATTGTATTATGGCCGTTATTCTGGTCTAGCTTCTCGGATTGGAAAGGAAGGAGACCATTGTATATCATTTCGCTTGCAATTTACATCGTGGCCAACATTCTGTTAGCAGCTGTACCGGCGAATTTTGGAGCACTGATTGTCATTCGCATGGTGCAGTCGTTCGGTTCCTCTGCTGTTGTTTCGATGGGAGCAGGGACTGTAGCTGATGTGAGTTGTACTGTGGTAATCCGCCTTCAAAAAGCTTCTAACCTATTCCCAGGTTACCGAAGTTAAGCATAGAGCAGCAGCGATGTCAATCTTCTTGCTGGGGCCGCAGTGTGGTCCCATTTTTGGTCCAATGTTGGGTGGTCTTTTCGCAGGCTTGACAACTTGGAGATGGATTTTTGGATTCCTAGGTATGCAGCTTTCGAAGGCATGCTGTTCCTCTAGCTAACTTGCAACACAGCTATAACTGGATTCGTTCTCTGGGTAGTCATTATCTTGATGTTGCCAGAAACGCTTCGAGCTAGAGTAGGAAACGGTTCAGTATTTGCTGGAAAGGGCCTCATTCTTATGCCACCTGCATTATTCGCAACACCCGTGCCGGAGTCGCAAAGAGGACCTGCTCCACCAAAACCATCTCTTATTGGGTTCTGGCGAATGTTCTGCTACGCCCCTATTGGACTTGTCTCTTTCAATACAGCAATGCTTTACTCGACGTACTTTGCAATTTCCGTACATCTACCAACCGCGTTACAAGATGTTTATGGGTGGTCTACAACTGCTATCGGTTTTGGTTTCCTTGCAGTTGGTAAGTGTTGGAATATAGATATCGATGTAAGATACTGACGGAATTAGGAATTGCCATGATTGTTGGCTCAATGCTTGGTGGTCGTTTCTCCGATTGGAGACGAAAGCGTGCTGTCGCAGCCTCCGAATCTGAAACAGTCGACCCAGAGAATCGACTCGTAGATCAAATTTGGGGTGTATTGATGAGTGTTGGCGGATGCCTCATGTACGGGTGGTTTGTGCACTTCAAGATCCATCCAGCTGCAGTCCTTGTGGCAACCTTTCTGAGTAAGTTCTTCCAATTCAGCATTCAGAACCAGGTGCTAACATTGTGTTAGATGGTTTCGGTAACAGCTGGGTGTTTGTCGCAACAACTGCTTTCTTGACAGAGTGTGTGAAGCAACAAGCTGCTGGCGCCTTTGCGCTGGGCAATCTCTTACGGAACCCTGGAGCAGCCGTTGCAGCCGTTGTCATTCAACCGCTTGTGTCAAAAATGGGCGTGGGATGGTGCTTCACGGGACTAGCAATCGTGGACCTGATCCTTGTTGGAAACGCTGTCATTCTGTTACGAATCAAATGCCCTGGCTGGCGAAAGGAGAGGATGGCAAAAATGGCGGCTGCTGCTGCGGCAAAGATGTAGTAATATGGCGGACATAGAACGAGGCTTAGATACAGCCTAAAATAGGATAGATTCTTTTCCTGTAATAAATTAAGTGCCATAGCCGAAAGTATGTTGGTCTTTGAGTGACAGGGGAGGAGAAGAGCCGGAGATCTCGAGTGGAAACGTGACATTTGAGTATGAACGCCTACCTTAACAGCACCAAGAATACCGCGTAACTCAGCCCCATCACAATGTCGTATTTGTTTATGTAGGTGGTTCTGCCTACTTAAAAGTTAACTCAAGCTCCGGAGAGTACTTCTTCCGAGGTTTACTCTTTAGCCATCTGTGCTATGGTAACCCCGGATTTGCCGGTTTGACCAATTAGACTATTGCAATCGCCGTACAATAGATTTGCGGAGTACCATTATAGACGTCACAAATACGATAATCCATTCCATAATAACCTTTTGTTGTGGCTTGTTACGGTGTAGAACAAGTGGGGTGGTAGGTGTAGAATGAGGAATGGAATATGGCAAGTAAACACTACAACACTATACAAATATATATGAAGGTCTATGTTCCTTGCCCCTTGTTTCTTCCCCACCACCACCGTCCTTGCCGTTCCTTTACTATAGACGCTGCCGGGTCAAGTCGAAAACAATAGAGCCCCTGTTGCCGCCATATAGAGAAAAGGACGGAGGCGTAGGAGGAGGGTAGGTGACGTGGGGTAGAGACGAGGGGGGTACAGAGGCTGGGGAACAGGTGGAGAGAGAGTTAGTGGCGGACATAAACTAAAGGCGTGAACTAAAGGCGACAAATAATCGCATCTAGGAATAGCTTCACTTTTTGCTTGTTTAGGCTGTGGATGCGCTTTAATTACTTCTTTTAGGGTACTTTATTTACTTTCTTAGGCGAGGGCGAGGGGTGTGCTTTAATTAAAAACCAACTTTCTTTATTAATATAAGTGACGAATAATTCGCATCCTAGAAGTGATCAAATAATACCGTCTAATCCACCATGCGTACTAATTGACGAATCACTGGTAGCGTTGATCAATTCGTTGATTTGAGGGTTACAATAGCACACATCAAGATATACTCAAGCCAAAATTTGAAGAAGAAAATAGAAACGTAAAACCTGCCAATACAAACTTCACATGAATTGTCATTGAATGTATTGACCCATCTACCTAATACATAACCTCAAATCCCGACCCTAGAATCTCATTGCTGCTTCAAAAGATTTCAACGTTAACGACCTAGAATGCACCAAAGATCTATCTAACAGCCTAGTCTAATTTTTGATTACATGTCAGGGCTCTACAGCCCTTATAAGTACTCGGAAATCAAACCTCTCGCTTATTCATTCTAAAGTCGCGCTTAAGAGAAAGTCTTTCGCTTAAGAGGTAAGATTACTTGTACCAAAGACCTCCCAAGTTCACCCTCTAATGTAGGACTTGTATGTAGAAAGACTACCTCTTTCACAAATTTCAAGGTCTTCATACCAAAGAACCTCCCATAGTACGCAAGACACATGTAATCTAATATAGATAAGCATAACCGTAAAAAGCCAAGAACCTTCAACATCCCCGATTCCCCTCAGATCACTTTAATCCTCTCCCCAAATGAAAATCCTAACTTCAATCAACACAACCTCCTACCATTATTCATCAGACAGAAAAGAACAGCCATTATCAACTACGAAGGTAGACACTACTCTCGCAACACCATCCTTAAAACTCTCCCTTCAAGTGTGCGACCAGAAAACAACAGCTCTCACCCAGAAATTGATACTTCCATGGATGCGGAAGAACAGGGAGCTCTTGATTGTTCTACACAAGTCTCACCTCAGGATAAAATCCCACACAGCAACACACCTTGTCATTCCTCACCTACTAAATCATACCGTAGTCTATAATTCTCAATTCTCAGACATGCACCCAAAATCGACAGTAAAAGTATTTTCGACAATAAAAGGCTATTAAAAACCCTTCGTAGTACTACTAACACTCTACAAAAGGTCGATGATTGCAGAACAAGTAAATAATGAATGCAGTACTCGTAGCAAAGAGACAAGAATCATATCCAGATTGGAATCTAAAAGCTTCTAATATCACCCAACTCAAACTCCATCTTCTTCTTTGAGTTGGTTGGATCCTGCACTCTCCCATCCAATCTGGTGCTTCATCTGAAGAATATTTATTGGTTCAATGGTATTTTTTCAAGTCGCAAACGTGAAGTAGGATTCCTGGCAGCAAGCACTGCAGTGATACTCACCCTATCCCATTGCTCTCCATAACAAGTCACAACAACAACATCTCTCCAATTATCCAATAAATTATAGTCTCTCTCCCTCTCATCTTAAGAAAATACAAACCCATCATCCTCCCAACTCCCCAAGAAAATCCCACTACCCACCATAATTAAGATCAACAATCCCAATATCCCACAGATCCACCCCTTACCTCACAACTTCACAATCTCTCTACCTTATCTTACCCAAACCCAGTGCAAACCCAAAAAACAAGACACCCACAATAACCCACAACACCCCCACACAAACCCCCAAAGCTCATCCTCACACCTCATTCTCACATCTCCTATTTCTATCCTAGAACGTAAATCAACACAAATAAATCACAATACTCACTCACTCATCCCACAAAACCCAAAGAATTCAAAACATCCCATCCCAGCCCATCCCTACAATCCTCACCCAACCCCCCCCTCCAACCCTCTCCCCACCAACGATTTTCCATCATCAAACTATCATCAGAAATCCGTTCCCTCCCTTTCACTTTACTTAACTCCCCTTCCAATCTCTCTCCGCCTACCACATAACAGCCATCACATTCCCCGTCTCGCTAGCGCGTATTACATGTTCCTACCGCATTCCCCTCCTTCAAGCCAATCCCCTCCTATACTCCGTACAGTACATCCAACTACCCCCACGGTTCTACTTAGAGAAGAATACAAGCCTTCCGCTCGGGATCTTATATGACAATGATTTCCATTCCATTCCATTACTTCCTCACTCATTACACACTTACTCCTCAACCCTCAACCCTCAACCCTCCTCCCTCATCCCTCCTCCCTCCTCCCTCCTCCCTCATCCCTCATCCCTCATCCCCCTTCCATCCATATCTCTCCTATGCCCCATACTCCCATGGCCCAAGCCCCTCACACAATCACACAATCACATAGCCCCCCCCCTTTAAAAGACCACCGTTTACAAAACCACGAAAAAGATCTCTTTATATTTTCACATCATATCATTTCATATAAACCACTCATCCACCCATCCACTCACTCACTTACTACACTACACTACATACCCCATCCCCATCCCCATCCGCCCCTCCCCATCCCTCCCAACCCCTCTCCTGTCCAAATATATCCCAAAAAAAAACGCCAAATCCCATGGTCCAAACACCATTTCTCCAACATGAAAAAAAGAAAAGAAAGATATAACAATGCCACAAAAGATTATGATACACCCTAAAATGCCATCCAGCCAGCTCATTCAAAACCACCATTCGAAAAATGCCCATTTGTGCTCTCATATCTCACTCATTCCAATATCAATGCAATCAATCAAATTCAGTTCTTTTCTTTTCTTTCCGGCTCTGCTCTCATCTCATCTCCATGCAAACTGCAAACTTCAAATGCAAGAGAAAAAGAGTATCGCTAAAATAGGGGAATCGCATTCGCATTCATCCAAAAAACAAAATTTCAACTGAAGAAATTATTTAATCACTCAACTCCCTCTTACTAGCCGCCAAAGCCGAAATCTCCTCGCGACTCCTTTCACCAGATCTCGTAGGTGCATTGGACCCAGAACCCGAGCTAGCCCCTTTACTCTTCGACGGGGCCCCAGGAACCCGAAGGATATCCCCGTCTGTAGTGACAGTCGTATTCTCCATCGTATTCCAATCCTCGTCATCGCTCTCGCTCTCCCCATCTGCCTCACTCCCGCTCCCGCCACCTCTGTCGGTGGCACGTTGCTTGCGAGCCTCCATCCGCGCTTCCTCTCTCATCTTCCGGATTTTGATATAATTGTACGCTGCGATGGCTCCGATCGTGACAAAGAGACCGGAGATGTTGATTGGGGTAAGGGTGTCGCCGAACACAATACCTGCTGCAGAGATAGTGACGACTTCTTTGAAGATTCCAGCGATGGAGAGAGTAACTACCGAAGTTCGCTGAAGAAGAGCGAATTCAGAGGCGGTCATACAGAATGCGATGACTCCGGGAAAGAGCAAAAGGAGAGGACCAAGAATGAATCCCTTAGCTTCCATAAGGAGATGCAGGCCCTCAAAAAGGGCAGGAAAGCCTTCCACTGGTATAGCTAGAACGAACAGGGAAAAAAACATAACAGGAGCTAAGAAAAAAATCGACGAGAATGGGTTGGATGTTGCCGGGTTTCGGAGAAGAAGGATTTGTGTGAGACCCCATCGAAACCCGGAAAAGAATGCTGCTGAGATGACGAGAATAAAGCCGATTGCTGAGAAATCAACTTCTCCTGCAACCATCATCACCACACCTGCTGTCATAGTTGCAATAATCGCCACCAGCCGCCAGGATGGAGTTTCAAGTCTAAAAAGGAATGCGAATAACAGAACGAAGGCAAGTGAAGAAGATTTGCACATGGCTGAAAAACATATCTGTTAGCAATCGAGTCTTTGAAGATAAAAAGTAGAAGAGGTATGAAACTTACTATAAAATGTAAGAGTAATCCACTTCAAACTTGTATTCCCGAGCCCAATATCAAGCCCAGTAGCCATTCCACAAGGACCAATGCGTGTAAAATAAAACATTCGAGTCATAAGCGGTTTCTTTGACGCCGCTTCATGGTCTGCTAAATCCGCATCTGGGGCTTGTGTATTGTGAGGGTTCGTGATTGAATCGTATCGTGGTCGGAATTGAGGGAGAAAGTATAGCACGAGCGAGGAAAGGCAGAATTGTACCAGCATATGCATACATGTCGTAAATAGCGGGAAATGGAAATTTAAATGCTCTTCTGAAAACATCCATTTGTTGTACTGCCAGACATCAGCGGGCGCGAAATATAGATAAACAGCAAGGGGGAACGTACTATTGATATGGAAAGCGAAAATAAATACCACAGGAGGATCAATATGCCATTGATCACCATACTCTTCAGCACATTCTGATCCGCCTGCTTTTTCTCCTCGGCTGTAATCTTGACGTCGCCCACAATTCGTTGATCCAGTAATGTATTTCTCCTTCTTTTCGAATTCCGCCGACCTCGATCTTTCCCCGTCAACCCAGTTTCCTCGTCATCTTGCAGGCCGTCATCGGTCAGATGATCCATTTCCAGATCCTCGCTGGTGCTTTTTGAGTCCTCATCTAACAATGAATCGCTAGCTTTTGGCTCCTCCCGTATCTTGTCCTTTCCATTAGGTGACATTGATGTCCGGCGTGCTTTCCCCCGCGAACTGCCATCAATGGGGCTCATTATGCTACTCTTCCGCCTCCTATGGCCTTGTGCGTCGGACATCTTCTGGTCGGGAGGTTGGATTGCTGCTAGAGCAATTGCAGCATCAGGGGCTTGCAAATCTTGGTTCTGCTGGGCAGCAAATGTGGAATCGGACGGGGGCCGCGTCAATGAAGACGAGGGAAACTGAGATGATATAGGTGATGCTGAATTTGTAGAGGCTGGTACCACGACCCTGGACTCGTGTCTATCGGTATATTCGTGGTTGTGGTGGTGATTGTGCGTTGTTTGGTCGTCCATGCAAAAGGGTTCCCCAGCTTTGAAGGATCCAGGGCCGCTTGGCACAGCAGCAGTACTCTCGTGACGCATCAAATGGGAAGCTTGGAACACTGAAATGAGAGCAATGTCCCCACCAAACTGGGCCTCCAAGTCGCGTGTCTTCGGCACTCACCAAGTACGAACTACTAGTGCGTATGCGTATTGGAAAGACTAAAATCCGGCAACGGAATTTTCCAGAGAGCCGTGGGCCGTGGTACTCGAGTGACGAGTGGTGAAGTTGTAAAGGTAGCTAGCTAGGTAAGGTTGTTTGATGTTTGAAGCGACCTGAGCCCCTACTCGAGTACTCTACTACTCCGTACCTACAGGAGAGCGGCCACCAGCAGCCGATAGCTTGTAACACAACCACAGATTAAGGTTAGCTTAGCTCCGACTAACTAAAAAGAAGCGTGACAACGTCGATTTCCCCAGATTCTTGAGCAACTATTTTTGTTCCCTCCAGATACTCGCCAAAATCCCAGGATCAATGACGAACTTCTTCGTCCTTCACCCGCAGCATTCCGAATCAGATGGCATCTTGCAAGTCTCGGCAACGGAATGTAGAGCACCTGAGTTACTCGTTACTCCATAAAATGCCATGTGATAAGCTGACTTGACTTACTCACAATAGACCTTCTCAATTTGGCTACTCGAGTACTGCAATTGGTTACAAGGTTTGAATTAGTAGCGTCCCGTGAGCTTACCTACAGTACACCTGTACAATAGTATCCGGCAGCCGATGAATGTGTCAGCTCAAGATTGATATGCTAACACCTCCACTCTTCGAGCTTATAGTAAACATTGTTTTCAGCAATCCGTACAATTACCAGGTCAAGATCTTTACAACAAATGACGTGTACGGAGTAATGTGGAGAGAGATATCCATCCAGTGCATCTGTTGCATCACATACCCGGCAAGAGTCCCCGCCCCCTTCCGGAAAAACAATGTTGCGGACCTTACTGGCAAATCCCCGGTGAAGAAGCTGATCAACTCAAGGGCCAACAACCTAAGTCCCTACCTATGTACTTGCTATACGAGTACATCATAAAGCTAATTAAGAAGAATAGATGAATTCTAGACTCTAGACGAAGAAATTTATTGAAGACTGTCTTCAAATATTTTCAAATGGCTCGATCGTAGAGGATAGGACAATAGAAGCACTCTGGAGGTGAACCATACACAAAGAATGAAATATAGAATTTAAATACCTATCGGCTCACTATCTAAACAATTCCCGCATCCAAGAGGAACGGGATAATAAAGAAACATCCTATCATTATCATACAACCTGCTCCCCCCCATTTCATGACTCCTGATTTTCGATACCTGAATTCAGATCAGAGTGTCTCAGTATACGTCAAATTCTCGTCCTCTTCACAATCCGTTGCCTTCATTATCTCCCTCAGTTCGAGGCTCAACGCCGTGAAAGGCCTCACCAAACGCCGAATCTTCCATTCCGCCATCCATATCCATCGCAAGATCACCAAGGTCATTACTATTGCCTCCGAGATCTGCGTTGTAAGTAGCAAGTGCATCACCGGCCGAATCCAAATCTCCTAGATCAGCAAAGTCATTTGGTGAAGTATGGAAGTCTGCTACGGGAGTTTGATTGGAAGAAGCCGTTGGTAGTGGTGAAGGATTGGCTGTAATGGGCGCCGAAGTGGTAGCTGGAGGTACAATTGATGCCAGCGCACTGGGTTGAGGTGCTGCACCCGCCTGCGCTGTTGGAGCAGAGGCACCTGTTGGCGAAACACCACCTGGAGGAACCACTACCCAATCTCCACCTGTACCACTGGCATCAGGAACAGTTTGTTCATTTGAAGTTCCCACATCCGTCATATTGGTATCATTCTGCGTATTCTGCTGCAATAGGGTATTTCCAGGTGGTTGAGGAGACGCTGCAGGAATGTGAACAGGAGTACCGGCTGCTGATTGAGGTTGTAGATAAGGTTGAGGCGTAGGAAATCCGCTTCCGCTTCCCGGGGTGGCATGAGATGATAGTCCAGCGTGAAATTGGTCAAGCAAACCTGCCGCAGAGCCGCCCATCTCGATATCAGCATCACCGACCAAAACCCCGCTGTTTTGGGACCCAGTATTGGAGGCAGGTGGAGAGGCCCGAGGACTTGGAACTGGAGGTGGGAGAGGGCTAGGCACTGCAACTGGTTGCTCATAACCACCGTCTTGGATACGCACAAGGTCCTTAACAACGGCAGCACGTCGGCCCAAAGCAGCCTCAACTTTGTCAAGAATATCAGAAACCTTGGAAGGGGTCTCGGGTGTAACCTCTTCCTCTTCGTTTTCTTCTGTATCAACTCGCCCTTCGAGACGCCAGTACTCTGGACCGACATCGGTAGGTTCATGGACAGCATTTCGAAGCTCTTTTTCTGCGCGACTAACTACGGAACCACGCTGAAACTTTGCGAGCCGTTTCGCATGCTTCGCCTTCATTTTCTCAATCTCCTTGTTGGATTGCTCAACATGCTCCTGCACTCTTTGTCTGAATTCATCTGCCTTTGTAGGATCTAATCGACCAATATACTCATTTTTGATGGCATCATTATCTGGGTCGAGTGGCGCATCGAAGATGCCTTCCGTCAATTTGGCCAATTGTCCGCGGAAACCAAGTCCAAGGTCTGCAGGAAGAAGCTGATTCATAGAATACGGGGAAGATAACACTTCTTCCATCCATTCATGGTTTTGCTTGTACCGGCTCACGCTGATTTCACGAGGCGTAGTGTGATCAAAGAGATCCCCGCGCGAAGTATCTTCTTCGTCATCAATATCAAGAACAGCGACACCAGCACTTCCTGTTACTGCTTGGTTGACAGCTGCCTGGGTTCGAACGCGCTTTGCGGGTGGGCCTGCAGCCGCATGCTGGGGAGGGTATGCCATTGCCTGCGGGACTCTCGTTGGAGGAGCATGACCATACATCGGTGCTCCACGAGGTTGGTTCCTTGGGAAAGCGATTTGTGGCCAACTTGCACGATCCTGAAGCATGAACTCCTTCTGCACAATCTGCCCTTGTGATTGAAGATATGCACGGGTACTGATGGAATTTGAGGTTCGTGGGTCCATTGGGATCATGTTGGAGGGTACTCGATCATTGGGTTCCGCGTGGCCATAATGAACGATCCAAAGAGATGGGTTTGGCGAAGGAGCGCCTTGTCTTGGTGGCATTCGGTGGGAGGGGACAAGACGATATCGACGACGGCTGTGGGTTGCTTGAGGTTCACCTATGGCATAGCCTGTTTTTGCATGGTATAATTCAAGCGTCTGGAATGCGTCAGTGGTCGCATTTTGAAAAGTATTGGCGCAACAGCATGCTCAAAGCTGGATCGCGATTGAACTTACTCCGCCTTCGACCTCCAATTGAAAGGAGGTTTCGCCAGGAGCCCAAATGTATCCATCGCTGGGAAATTCAAGGCCGACCGTGGGAGCCTGGTAGGTGAGAAGAATCGTAGCGGGAGCAGGTCGATCGAGATAGGTCCAGTAGAATGGAGCCTCACTGTTTGCGATTTTTGGCGCAGCAAGCAGCCATTCTGCTACTTTGTCGGGGTGAAGGGATTGAAGATTGGGAAATCGATAGGTTGAGAGAAGATGGACGTGCGGTTGCTGTTCAGTTGTCGTCAGCGCAAGATTCTACAATGATGGCGCATCGAGCGCAAACTTACCAATTCGCGAATAATACCGTCGCTCGGGTCTCTCATTTGCCGGAGGTCTTGCATTTTGCCAGAAAACGGAATTGAAAGTTGGGGGGGATGAAAATGGTGAAATTGGGAATTGACAGCTCTCAGCGCTCAGGTTGCTTCAGCGTGAGGTCGGGCGCGATATCCTGGCGGCCGGGGATCGGGACCGCGTTTGGATCACGTGCAACATACTCCGCTTAGATTCGCTTCTCTACAGACCTCGCCAACGTCTGCTATTGTTCTAATTATCACCTCCCCTGTCAGCACAATACTAGCTACCAAACACTACTGGCACAAGTCAAATCCTGTCTCCTTGATGGGATATAGGATTGGTATCGAGGGGTTCATCAAAAAAGTTCAACTTACTTGAGTGTCCAAAATCCAACCCCATCATGTCCGTTGCAGCATCTCGGATTGAACAACTAGCCATCTCCTCACAGAGTGGCCTCAAGTCATTTCGGAATGAAAAACTAGCCATCGCTTCACAGAGTGGTCCAAAGTCTACAGGCAGCCTAGGCCTGTCATAACCGTGGGAAAAGTCCTTCAGCCAAGCGAAAGAGATGATTACCCTGTCCCACTTTGTCCATCTTGCCTGGCGACTTGCCAGCTCCAAATGCTTTGAATTCTAATATCAGTCTCGATACTTGAAATATGATTGGGAGTGTGCCCATACGTTTTGCTGCGGGCCAGTCCTAAGCGGACTCTGTAGCGTGGCTGCCGGGTTCCTCAACACTACTTTCATGCGACGCAAAATCATTCTCGTTGACTCGGGAGTCCTGCAAGTGATCTTGAGGGGGTCTTCGTTGCCGAGATCATCAGGGGAACGCTTTCGTTTGTGGGGGCCAGATAACACGCTGAGGAGGTTGGCGAATGGGTTCTGTGTGATTCGTCAGAAGATCTGAATTTGCAATGCAGTTTCGGTACTAAGACCAAAATCCACAGCAAAGCAAGCTTGACAGGAGAAGATCATTCAGATGAATTTATCGTCACGTTATATCGTTTCTTTTGGAACCAGGGTTGCTGCAGTGTGGTTGACTGGTCTCTGTGGACTGATACAAGGACAGGAAAGGGGGACTAACTGGTTGTTGAGGTGCAAAGCCTCCAATACCGAGAAAATATGTCATGTTGACAGATGTTCGAAGCTAGTCCTATGGAACGAGGTGTTGTACCTGTATGCAGATGCTGCAGAAGATGTGAGACCGGAAAGTCCAGAAATATTGGTGGTCCAAATGTTGCCCGTGCGCTGGAGAGACTGGAGAAGTCAATCGAGGTCAAGAGCTATGAACAAGGTCGCGTTGACGCGCTTGCGTGTCATCTTGCTTAAGAAGGCCGGAAATCCGTGGAAATTTGCAAGAGAGTACCGCTCGAAGGGAAACCTATGGTGTATGAGTTTTGGCTTTACCGTAACGATATTTCCTGCAGGCAGAGAGTCGAGTTGATTGAGGCAGAGAGTTGATTTCAAGTTTCTGATGGTGCACCAGGTGTGGTCATCATATATTCAGGCTCACCCAGTACCCCCAACTTATAGAAAGTCCTGGTGGTGGATACAGAGGAATTCACTTAAAGGTACTGAAAGCACGGTTACCTTCTTGCTGGTCTGCTCACTTCACTATCTGCTACCACGTGGAGCCACGATGGGGCTCTTGAAGCATACTCTTGCTTTGAGAGTAAGAAAGCACATCGAGACCCCGCCCCGAGCAGCCCAGAGATATGGGTGTATGGCACCCCCCCTCACTCCACCCCCTCCCCTTGCCCCCCTTCCCCCGTGGTAGGAATGGAGCTATACCAACCCATGTTGATATTCATCCGATCCTATTATTCATTACATGGCCACCCTACACTCCCTGGTACAGCTTCAAGACTGTCCCATCATCCTCGCTTCGATGTGTAGAAGGAGTTCTCGATATCAACATGACCTTGTTAAGTTGTTCGCCATGAAGTGATCCATTCCCTAAGATCACAACTATGTAGAAATAGCGCAATGAAGAGAGATCACTTCCATTTCATGTACAGTCCTTTGGACACATAATTGTATCCTTCTTATCAGACTCCAAGCAGTCTTCCTGCTACTAGATTAGGCCCCCTACAAACGTTTTGAGCTACCTCAAAAGTATCCATCTGCCAGAACTCCAATATCTCCGTGCCTCGCTATACTTATGCATATTCCTACTCGCCCTTCAGAATAGACCGTAATTCCAATTCTGTGATTCTATACTACACTACGCGCTATCAATGACAATTTTCCTTCCCTTGCAACAACCTATGACTTAACTTATCCAAGTTAAATAGACAACGTAATAAACCTATATAATTATAATAACTAAGTCCTATGTTGTTTACGGAAGGAATTATATCTAGCTAAGTCCCTATATACTTACTTAGAGATGCTCTTGCCCTTACACGCTAGTCCTAAAGGAGCGTAGCAAGCTAGTCTCGAGGGAGCGGAGCTAGCTACAGTAAGTCCCCACATAATAACAGAGGCCCCTGCACGCTAGTCCCCGCTCCGTATAGATGCCCTTATACCCTAGTCCCAAAGAAGCGTAGCAGTCCCAAAGGAGCGTAGCAAGCTGGACTCGAAGGAGCGGAGCTAGCTAATTACCTAATATTCATTCACTATTACGAAGTGACACAATCTCATGCCCAAATAAGTATCTAATTCAACGTTTGGGGGCCTTTGCCTACACTCGGAATGAGCCCTCGAGATCAAGAAACCTTTCTCCTGGCTACGAATTTCGTAATATAGAATGTGTTGCAGTAGGACTTCAAGCAAGTGGGAACGCAGAATGTGAATCTAGTAAGGCGTGATGGAACCTTTACCTCATCAATCAGCAAGTTCTTTCTGCTGGGATTGGACTTCACATTCATCTTACGACAATGTTATGGATGGCTTCGAATTTTATGAATTATAAATAGGTTCACGGTGTGAACCTCGAGAGAAATTACAAATATGCGTACTCCAACCATGTACCAACTCCATTGTCGACACTTAATCTTTGACCCATACTACCGCCTCTTGAAGAAAATGAGCTATTGTGCTCGTATACAGAAATTCGCTTTCCTCCACCTTGCTCAGACCCGAGCTTCATTAACCGCTCCCCATTCCAAATACAAGTACATGAGATCCTCCAGTAATCAAGTCACAATACATCCACCCATCTTCGTATACTTCGAATAATTCCAACAAGAACAAGAGAAACCAAGAAACAACAAAAAAAACAAGAAAAAGAAACAAGAAAAGAAACCCATTCTCCTCCCATCTTCCAACAAAAGGTACCTCGCTCTCACATCACATCAAAAACCCTCATCCAAGTCACCGGAAACCAGATCCGTAGTCCCAATCCCCATGACGCCAGGAATGACTCCTCAGAGCAACGACGGAAGCGATCCGTTCATTCAACTGTAAAAAACGCCGGACTTTGAAGGACAAAGGGGTCTCTACACTGCTGGTAGAGCGCTCTAGTTCTATGGCGCTAGAGTTGCCTAAGTATTCCCCACCCACTTTCAAAAAGGTAACTCCACCCCATGTCCCAGTGGCTCGTAGGTGCGACCTAGGCGGACATGCAGAAGTGTGTGCAATGGCGCATGCGCCGATTGCCACTCTGACGTGGGACGTAGACGGGGTGGAGGTGTCTCCGAGATGGAGACGCTCTAGTTCTTTCGTGCTAGAGTTACGGCGGGGTTGGTGGGTGGGGGATGTGATGTGAGAGGAGGTGTGAGACTCTGGGGTTTGGATTTTGAATGCCAGAGGTGGTGGTTTTGAGAGGCTTGGATATGGAGTTAGGCCTCGAGAGATTCGATGACTCGAAAGGGCACGCGATGTGGTAGATGGGTTGTGTATATTGTGCGAGCGTGGTATGGTTTAGTTTTGATCGCCCAATTTGGGGTGAGGGTCAATCTCGAGTCGAGGCGATAATAGAGGGGTGTTGCAGAGGCATTGTTGGAAATTTTGAGAAATCCAGTTGCCAGGGATCTCAAAAAGACGATTCCGAGGGCTGATGGCTTCGAGTGTCTGTTTGCGAGTCAAGGATTTTAAGGTTGGAGGCAATGTTGGATATTTGAATGAATCCGCTTGCCAATGACTTCAGGAATGTTTGCGAGAATTTGTGATCGTAGGAGTTTCTTTCGAGATTGAGATCTTTCGCAGAGATCGAGGTCGGATACCGAGGCAGCTTTCGACGACTGCTATGGTGTGCGAGATGGTTCTCGCGAAATGGATAGCTTGCTCTTGTGCAAAAATGAGCTTGGTGTATGCTTGGCTCCATTGCGACCGGTGCTTTTGATGTCGTCGACCTTGGGAAAGCTGGATTGAGTTCATGAGAAGAAGATTTCTTGTTCATGGGACATTGAATTGTATGTCTTAGGCAAAGAAGATATTAATACTCTGGGCTCCGCTATGGAAGCTCGATGGGTGCATTTTGTTTATCTTGGGCACCGCTTTGATGAGTTTTTTCGAAGTCCCTGACTTTGGATAAGTCGATATCGCGTTGATGGGTGGCGATCTGTCATAGCCTTTTGGACTTTGAGCCATGAAGAAAGCAGGGATTGGATGTTCGAACTCCGCGGCGAAAGAGAGAATGGCGCTGCCAAATCATCATCGCAAAGGTTCCAATTTGTGCTCAGCCACTCATTGAACCGCCAAAAACATGTGGACGTTTGGCAACTGAAGTTCTTGAGTTCAGACTTGGATCGTGAAGGGCCAACACGATGAGCAGTTGAGCACGAAAGTATCAGCGAGCAGTAATGTAAACGAGAATTGCTGCTGCAGACAGGGACTTGTTTGTCGATGGCCCATCGAGAATTTCACACCACTGTCATTGAAGAGTAGCCGAAATGCCTAATGAGGAGGCATCATTCGCGCGGTCTTCGAAGAAGAGAGCGCGAGTTGACGGGTATTGGTTATTTCCATTGAGATTTAACTTGGATGTTCTCATCGGCATCGAGGTATGTGAAGTTATTTCTCGTGCGATTGACGAATCTGCTTTGGTTCCGAGGATTGCTCCGTAGGATCCAGCATTGCACCGTTTTTTGAATCACGGCGATATGCTTCGTGGTACTTATTGAGAGCTTCGAATGAGACTCATGGAGTTGTTGGTTGACGGGTGATCTCACCCTTTGCTTTTTTGGCGCTAAGAATGGGTCGCCGTCGAGGGCGAAAAGCCTTTTTGAGACGTGGCAGTCGACCTTATTGGTACTTGTTGTCGAGAATCCTGCAGGAAGCTCGTGGTGTTGTGGTTCAACGATCGACTCATCTCCTTTTGTGTTCGAGGATCGTCGATGAAGTTGAGATTGCTGCATATTTTTGAACTGCCGCAATCGACTTCGTTGGTACTTGTGTTTGAGAGTCCCGGAGGACGCTCATGGTGTTCATGTTTAGGCGATCCATTCGGCTTTGATTTGTTTTGAAGATCGCACTGTTGAAGTCAAAGGTGCTTTTTTGGGGGGCGCTAGTTGACTTCGCCAGTATGGGATTTTGAAAGATTATGAGCATGGTGCTGTCCTTTGGGGAGAGTGATGGTCCCTAAAAGACACCATTTTGGAGCGCTCGAAGAAAGTTGCTGACGTAGCGAATAGCGAATGTCTTTGAGCTCTTTCTGAGAAGCTCCATGGATTCCGGTTTAATGGCATTTATGCCCATAGGAAGAACAGGAACGATCGAATTCCTTCATCCACGGGGGTATGGTATTGGTGTTGAAGAATGACGATGGTCCTTTTCGGCTTGGGTTTGTCGGCATGTGTTTTAAACCCCGATGATTTCTCATTGAAGGTAATTTCGGCAATTTGGAGGCCTTCTGAGAAACTGTTATTTGTGATTTTGAGGAGCCTCGATCATTCTTGTCGGGTATGGTAGAAAGAACTCTCGAAGAGGTCGAGATCGCTGGTTGTGGGTAGCAGTGATTGTCCTCAATTGTGATTGGTGCTCAAGGAGTGCTGTGAAGCTTCCCGAGACCAATTTTGCAGAATATCCAAGGCATGTGTTGAATAGATGTGGCAGATGCATTGGTTTTTCTGCGGTTGGTGTGACAGAAGTAGCAATGGCAGGCACCACTTTGTCAGAGTTCGCTATGCTGGTATCAAGATTTGGACATGTGTATGGTGTCCTGTGGTTTTGATAGAGCAGAGCGATTCAAAGCTTCGAGGCCTGGTTCTCGGTCGACAAGACGAATTGGAGAAGTCTTGTGCTGGTGACGAGGCGATATGGCTGTCGATGCTTCGAGTTGTGCATTTTGGATCAATTGCGGGAAAGCTCCTTCTTGGGCAAAAAGAAGAATGATGTATGAGCAAAATCCTGCGCGGATCCGAGAATGCAGGCGTACGAGGAAATGATGGTCGAAAGAATAGCAAGAATGGCCGACGGACGAAAGATTGCACCAGGCAATGATTCGATATGACAACGGCTCCCTCTTCCTCTCTCTCCAGACCGAACTCCGAAAACGCCGAATAATAAAAGAGATTTTTTGGTGATTGTTTTGTAATTTTCAATTCTTTTTGGTGTTTTATATTTTGAAAAAGAAATCTTGCCGAAAAGAAATCGAATACGAAAAACGGAAAAAATGGAGAGGTCGAACAAAGCGACGAAAAACAATCCCAAACGGAAGGCAAATCAGTCTGACTGTTTCTGAAAGCATGAGCGGTAGTTCTGAGTTCATGAGAGTAGACTCAAGGATTGATTGATACCCAAGTACCAAGGTATTGAATCGTTCCTGGTCTTTCTCAAACCAGTGAACGCAAGCTCAATGCTCCACCATAGTGATCGCACACACAACTTTCCAAAAGGCACCATAGTCACTGACCAGCAGATGACCATGAGATTGGTAGCAAGAAGTGTCGGACCGATGGCAGCGAAAACAGACCAGCTGCTAAATAAAGAGAGTGATGAAGTTGAATTGTCAGCTATCCATACCCGTACGATCATAGTAGAGAACTACGAGGTGTAGAACCCAACCAGTGAACGTTTCTGGAAGCATATGCCTCAGCATGCTGGATCATCTCAAGAATCCGACAGTCATCCCTGCCTGGTAAACCAAGCTCTTCAGACATTAGAAACTCAAGGCCGTAGACACGCTGAGAGTCAACAACAACACGGAAGCAGCTTCATTCCAAGACCCAGGATCATCGTCAAAATCTCACCATCCTCGCCGAAGCAACTCAGGTTCAATATAAGACGGCCTTGTCAGTCATGAAAATCAGCAGCGAAACAAATAGGGAAAAGAGGCTTCATCTGACATCCCGGATCATGCTCAAATTCGTCCCTTCCTGCCGAAGCTCTCAGGTAGAAAATGAACCCCTAGTCATGTCAAGAATCATTAGCATAAGAAGACGCTATGCCTCTCAACACGCTGGATCATCCTCGAAACTCATACCATCCTCGCCGAAGCAACTTCAGGTAGAATAACGAAGCCCTAAGACGCGTTGAAAGTTAGTGTACGAGAAATCGACCTCAATAATATCCTTCAGGAAAAGAAGTTCCAATTCAGTAGAGTTCCCTGTCTGGATCCCACCACTTGCGTCAAGTTGGGTAGACTCCTCCCTAACCAAAGTAGGCAGGTTGCTGCTCCCGCGAGGAAGACAGCAAGGGACTTACATGCCCTACGTGGTCGAATGACGAGGCGGAAAGTGACGAGATGAGCTTGAATAGCGTTGACGGCATTGGAACTATTGTCGAGATCAATGGAGGACGAAGCTGGGAGATGATCTTGTGAGAGAAGCTCGGTAGCCACGGAACCTTCTTGTCGACGCTTTTTCTATAGGGCTAGCTCCCCCTCCTGCCCATCGAGGCGAAGAACTGGTGTTGACCAAGTGCCACCATCACCCTCCCCCTCCATCACTTCAGAAGATCATATGATCGCCGTGATACTCGCAAGTATCTCGCCCCATCCACTCCGTAGCCTCCGAAGATAGTGCCTCCCACTCCATCTTCTGCTCGTACACATACGTCTCCCACTCGTACGTTGGGACCCAATCCATAGGAATGTGTCCGTTATCATACCCTCCGTCCATTATATCCGGTACGTCTTCTGGGACAGGGGTTGGTACGTGAAATGTCTGCCCGTAAAAGGAGACACCCTCGTAGCAAGTGCTAACCCCGCCGTTGAATGCGTAGCCAAAGTAAGACATTGCGCAATGGTTTTCGTAGGAAATAAGTCGAGTTCTAAAAGGAATTTCTGGCAAGAATGCGAGAGTTATCGATCGTAGAGTCGAGATTTGCTGCGAAAAGATGCGCAAGGAGAAAAGAAAGAAAGAAAGGTCGAAGGCGAGAGCGAGATTTTCTGATATCCCCAGGAGGAGGGTGGGGGACACGCTAGCGATGGTAGTCGCGTTCGCCCGTTGGGATAAAGTAGCAGCTTGTCAATAAACTTGTAGGCCAGTTGGGGCAGAGATTAATTTTGATAGTGGCAGTTCTGAAAAGCGGCGTGCGGTTTCGCTTAGCGAGATCCCGACCACCCACCACCACCAGAAGACCTTTTACTGGAGCATTAAGAGCGGCATGAATAGAGCGCTTTCTGGGGATTGATACCACAATGTCGATCTTGCATCTACATGCACTTCTATGCCAACCCAAGGAATATAGATTTGAAGATTGAGGGGCTCATATATAAGCGAATCTTGCCCCTTAAACACTTGGGTGTTGAGACAATACGATTTTTCCATAGACATCTTATATTTTTCTCTGAGGATTAATTGCCATGCCTCTCCTACCCAAAAGTCCCAAGCAAGAAAACCCACTTTCATGGCTCACGCAAAGATGTCATGCCTTCGCCCAAAGAAATCACCACCGCAGAATCACGCCGCTTTTCATCACCCCTCAGAAATTGCCAAACCCCAGCCACCAGCGACTACTACCTTTCTGCCTTATGGCCTTTATCTTTCCTTTGTCCTTGGAGTCTCGCGCGTCACAGTGAACACCTTAAAACGCGCGATAAGAAAATTTCAATATTAGGGAAATTAAAAATGTCGTAAACCATTGAGCAAGTTTGTCATCAAGGTGCTTGAGTAGCTATGGCAAGCACGTCACGGAGTCTATTGGACTGGCATTTGCGCTGAATTCATGAATAGCACTTTTGGAATCAAGTCCCTTTACATCATAAAATACTCGCCAGCGTACTTCGGATGTTTCCCCCTTACCCCTCCCAGACTTGAGCTCCGTGACCATCAAAAGCCTCAACCAAAAGTACTTGGAAGTAAAATCATGCATGGAGCCACGAAGACAAAATATTCCCCTGAAGAACTGCAAGTTTTCTTAGCACAATTGTGCACATCTAAACCTCGATATCTCACCAATTACTTGCTTCACTTCAGCTCAACCAGACACCGACTGCATCCTGCAAAATCAAGCACACATCACATCACCAAAGCCTATACAAGTTGCACTATCAACTCACTTCACTTTGGCTGTAACACTGTACTCAACACCACCACCAAATCACAGGAAAACATTCATGCCGTGGAGGGTCATCTACTAACATACCTACCTATACACCAATCTCTCAATATCTCTCCAATCCAGTCCCACCAATACAACTCACCTCTCCATAACCCCATACACCAAAAACCCCACTACCCTGCAAAGCAAAACTTCCCAGCCTCTCCAATTACCAAGAGCGTAAAAAAGATGGAGAAGGATAGGGGTCTGGGCGCCATACGAAGGAGTACATAAGGAGGCCTTGCCTCCCACTCAACTCCTCATGCCTTTCGCACTTTTTAGACTCTCTTTTTCCCCACCCACCGTCACTGATACAAATTATACGGTTCTTTGTATTTAGTACTGCCTGTCAGTTAGTTAGTCACCTGTACAGTCCGTCATGGTCTCTCACTTAGTGAGGTCCTAGGACAGTCAGTTACAGGCTCTGGAGGTTCTTTGAGTTTGCTTGCCAGCCATCTAGCATATATGCCATACTTAATAAGTACTATATGCCCCTGGCCAAGCGCTCTGGAGCCGGGCTCCTGCTGAACATGAAAGATGTTTTGAAAAAGCTCGTTCTGAAAAAGTGAGAACTCAAGTACAAGCGATCAGAATTCCCACACTCTTTTCTATTTCGATCTAAGTCATAGTTTCTACAACTCAACAGTGTGTCAGTGTAATTAATCCCACCTCATCCATCCCACCACAGCAACATAACTCCCTTCCTCCCTCCCAACTCCCTACCCCCAATCACAACCATCCATCTACAACCCCAAAATTCCAAAAGGCTTAAGACCAGCTACGCCTAGTAGGCGTTCAACGATCGAAAGAATCCCTTACCACAATGCACTACATATTCCTCATAGTACCATCCAATCCACCTTCCGCGTTCCAAAAGTACCTAGAATCCCAAACCTCGCTTAGTGTAATGTACCACTCCCTCACTTCCCCCATTTCTAACCCATCTCTCTCACTAACCCCCTTCTCCTCCCTACCTCAAACTTTTGCAACAAACCTTCAAACCCAACCAAACCTCCCCAACACCCCTCTCAATCCCCACTCTTCCATTCTCCGCATATTTAAATAGACACTACACCACTTCACACCACCTCACAACCCACAAAATCCCACAACAACCCACAACAACCCACCAAACCAGCAGAATGCATTATAAACAATTTCAAACAATCCATTAAACCGCTACTCTCAATCTAAACATTACCACTTCTACAAATAGCAAGTATACCTACCCAACCACCCAACCCAACACTCAACGAATCCACATCTTCGTTCTCGTTCCAAGTTACGTTAAACAAGTATAATTAAATAATATACTAATACGTTGAGGTCCTAAGTACTAAATCATACCACTCAACCCATCCTATCCCATCCCCATCCCCATCCCATCCTCTCCCCTTAAATCAAAAAAAAATCCAAACATCCAAAACAACAGAAAGAGAGAAGAAAAATAAAAAAGGCGGGGGAGGGGGATAAATAAGGAGTTTGATCACGTGGGAGGTTCAAGGAATCCCACCCGACCTAGGTAGGTAGGTAGCTACCTAGATACAAAAAAGGTTGGAAAGGGACGTGTATCACATGATTGAATAAATTGGGACTAGGTAGGTAGGTAGGTACCAAGTACCTATACCTACTGGAGATGAATATATTTAAAGAGCAAGTACTTTCCAGAACCCAGATAAGCCAACTTAGTCGTCGGACAGGTAGCATCTAGAAGCACATTCAATTCTACCTTTACCTCACTCTTCACTCATTTTACTACTACAGTCTACAAACATCATAAGAACCTTCTTTTCATTCATTTAACGTTATTTGACACCCAATCAACTGTATGTCAAAATCTCTAAATACAGCATTATCGAGAAAAGCCCAAAAGATATCCAATCAATCAACCTATGCTTGGTATGTTGAAGCACTAACGTTACCACCACGACCGGTCCAGTTGACGTGAATGTTGTCACCGTCTGGGTACTTGGCGCTAGCGTGCTCTGGCTTGATCTTGAAGGTGTGGGCACCAAAGTAATCTCTCTGGGCCTGGAGAAGGTTGGCTGGGAGATCCTTGGTTCGGTAACCGTCGAACCATGAGAGAGCGGTGGAGAAACATGGGGTTGGTAGACCGAGAAGAGCAGCCTTGGAGACAACATCTCTCCATCCTGGTTGAGCCTTATGAATGGCCTTGTTGAAGAAGTCATCGAACAACAAGTTCTCAAGATCAGGGTTGCTGCGGTAAGCAGCGGTGATATCCTTCAAGAAAACGGATCGGATAATGCATCCTCCGCGCCACATAAGAGCGATGGATGGCTTGTTTAATGACCAACCGTACTCCTTGGCAGCCTGAAAAACTTGGTCAGAATGTCATATGATGGAAAAGAGAATGGCGAACTTACAGATTGCATAAGCATGAAACCTTGCGCGTATGAGATGATCTTGGAGGCGTAAAGAGCTTGCTCTAAATCGTCCAAGAATTGCTCCTTGTTGCCCTCAAACTTGCTGGATCGACCAACAAATTCAAGAACCTTGGATGCGCGTGTTCGCTCACCCTTGAGAGATGAGAGACAACGGGCAAGAACGGACTCAGCAATCAAGGTAACTGGCTGTCCAAGATCGAGAGCGTTGATAGCAGTCCACTTTCCGGTACCCTTTTGTCCTGCAGAATCGAGAATCTTCTCCAAAAGTGGTGTTCCATCATCATCGTTAAAGTACATGATATCACGGGTAATTTCAATGAGGAAAGAGTCGAGAACGCCCTTGTTCCATTTGGTGAAGACATCACCAATCTCCTTGTCCTCCATTCCGAGACCACGCTTCATGATATCGTAGGCCTAAGTTGGGTTAGCGAAAATTGATTGATTACATGATGGAAATTCGTACTTCGCAAATCAATTGCATGTCACCGTACTCAATACCGTTGTGAACCATCTTTACGTAGTGACCGGCACCCTCATCACCGACCCAGTCGCAACATGGCTCTCCATCACTCTTGGCGGAGATGTTTTGGAAGATCTCCTTGATGTATGGCCAGGCCTCAGGGTTTCCACCTGGCATGATAGATGGGCCATATCTGGCACCCTCCTCACCACCAGACACACCGGCACCGACGAATCGAATACCCTTGGTAGCCAAGTACTTTGTTCGACGGTTGGTGTCGGGGAAATGTGAGTTACCACCATCGATGATGATATCACCCTCCTCACAGTGGGGAAGGAGAGTCTCGATGAAGTCGTCAACAGCCTTACCGGCCATGACCAAAAGCATCATACGGCGGGGTTTCTTGAGCTTTGCGCAGAACTCTTCGATTGAGTGGGCACCCTCGATGGATTTGCCTGTGGGGGTACAATTTAGCTGATTTTCTAAAGGTTGAATTGACACCAGCAAAGAATTGGTACATACCCTTTGCCTCGTTGGCAAGGAACTTGTCAACCTTGGAGACGGTTCGGTTGAATGCAATGACATTGGCACCGTGGTCGGCAGCGTTGAGAATCAAGTTCTGGCCCATGACGGCCAAGCCGATGAGGCCGAAATCTCCTCTAGGAGCATTGTCAGTATTAGATTCAGTACTTGTTTTCGAATTCGTAGAAGCTGAGTTGGGATGGAATCCCGGAGATCCGTTTCCGTTTCCCTCCCTTCGAGCTGCCGTGCCACCAATGTTGATGGCAGCGAGGCGAGCGCTGAAGGTGTCAATTAAGAGAATATTGTAGAATAGAAATTTGTAGCGATGTATCTGGCAGACGTATAATCCCGCGTGTCGACGCCATGTTGGTGTTGTGAAAGCAGCCGCAGCCACGGCGACCACGAATGGTGGGGTAAATTGCTGAGGGGTAAGAAAGTGAACAGCACTCACGTTGGTCCACTCATGATGACAAGAGGAAGCTAGAGATTAGGATTTGTGAGGGTATTCGGATGGTTGAGAATTTGCACAGGATCCTGTCCGTGAGTGGTGATGGAGTGGAAGGGAGAGGTGTTGATGATGTGTAGAAAGAAAGAAATCTTCACGAGTGACGGAAGGTTCGAGGGTTCTAAATGCTAAATGGTAATGGGTGGAGGGGTCGAGCTGGCGGGGGGGAGAGGGCAGCGAAGGGCCGGGGGGCAGCTGATTAGTCCGCCGTGAAGACCCGACCCGGTCTAGGCGGAAATAATTGGACCGATGATGCCGCTTTTCCTCAGCACCAGAGGAGCATCTCTGTAATACGCATCTCCACGGGTAGGGTGCGCAAAGAGACTGCGAGGGAGAGGCTCCATAGACCGGTCTTGGTCGTGGTGGAACGGGGATTACGAGGTTGCCAGGTTGCTTGGGGAGTGTTGGGGATGATGGGACGATGGGGGTGATGGGGGTGATGGGGATGATGGGACGATGGGGGTGATGGGGGTGATGGGGGTGATGGGAAATGATGGGGATGAGAGGGTTCAATGGCTTCTACGCATGCGGCTTACTCGTACCATACGAGTACGGAGGTACTGGAGTATCATGCTAAATATTCAATAAGAAGACGGTGCTGCTTTTTGCATGTAACTGCGTGAATTGTCATCAAGGCGAAGGTGAAAGCTAGAGCGAGTCCGTGGGCCAATTGCCTTGGTGGGAGCTGTGTGGGAAGCTCATATGGAGTCATGGCAATGCATGGGATGTGTCTGAGAACTGGAGAAGCCGATGAGGGAGAAGGCGGGAGAGGGCGACTGAGGGCGAGCGAGGTGGAGGGCGAGAAAGGCGATGAGGGGCTGATTTCTGGCTGTGCCAGTTCTCCGGGCTCAGAGCATCGCCAATTGAGGCATTAATATTCGATATCAATGCGATTGAATACAAAGCAATACTGACGATTCTCTACTGCCGGAGTCTGGTCATGTTGGTCATCGTTTCGTAGCCAGCTGCCTTCCATCACCTTGATGCTTCTTGATTATTTACCCCCCCGTCACCCCCACTTCCAACTCACGCATTGAATTTGAGGAACCACCGTTGAACCTACAACCCCGCCAAATAAGGCATCTCGGGCATGTCAAGCTTGGTACCTGAGGCTGAGATACTGACGTCGGCGACTGCCAATTTGGCTCTAAAGCCGAAGTTCGAGCTCATCCGTAACCGACAATCACTCACTAAGCGCCATTGCCGATTGCCGACTGACGATTGCCGCCCAAGTTGCAGGTCAGAATCCATGCCAAGCATCTTCTGACCCTTTGAATCGCGTATCTGCGACTGCGACAAAAACCATCAACACCACAACCAAACTCGACCCCATCCCATCTATTTCACTCTACGCAACTTGAAATCCGTCCTCCGAGACACCAAGAAAAGGGACAGTTGACTTGAGAAACCCACTGCGTCAAGGCGCAAAGGTACGTCTAAAATCATACCACAAGAGTATCGATCTGCAATTCATCATGTCCTATCCCCCACCTCCAGGTCTAAACAACAACTCCAACGCCCATCCATCTCTCCCCGCACGACCTCCTCCATCTAGCCTTCCTCCTCGACCAACGTATAATGCTGCTACCTCTCGATCCGGCGGTGGCGCGCCACCTGCCTATCCAGCGTCGTCTGGATATGGAGGCTTCGCGCCCAGATCTGAAGCTCCAGTACACACGGCGCAACCATCATATAATTCATACCAAGCACCTCCTCAACAACAGTACCCCCAGCAAGCATACGGAGGATATAGCGCTCCTCCACAGCACGATGCCTACGGCGCTGCACCTCAAATTCGAAATCCCTTCGCACCTCCCAGCGCCACGGCCGGAGCAAGAGCTTTTGAAGAGGACCCTGATATGGCAGCTCAGATAGCACAATGGCAGTCAGCATACGCATCAAAAGACAACACTACTAGCAGTAGTAATACATCAGGTTACACTGGTCCCAACCCTGCAACTCGACGATTCAATAATTCAAGTGAAAGTTCTGGCGCGGCTACGTCTACGAACACTACACCGCTTGGCGGTGGACCTCGACCTGATGCAGCGGGACCTACTATGAGCTCAGCAGCCATGTCTAGCGCCGCTCACACAGACACGGGCGTTGCAAACATCGTATCCGATTCCAAAGACCCATCTCAAAAAACCGTCGTTCGTTCTGGTGGTGGGTCAACATGGACTGATTCCTCACTCCTAGAATGGGACCCCGCGCATTTTCGTCTCTTCGTTGGTAACTTGGCAGGAGAAGTAACGGACGAATCTCTTTACAAAGCATTTTCGCGATGGCCATCCATCCAAAAAGCGCGTGTCATCCGAGATAAGAGAACGACCAAGAGCAAGGGGTATGGATTTGTGAGTTTCAGCGATGGGGAAGAGTTCTTCTCGGCTGCTAGAGAGATGCAGGGTAAATACATTGGAAGTCATCCTGTTTTACTGCGACGAAGTACGACTGAGATCAAGGCTGTGAACCCGAGGGATAAGAGACACGGCAAGAATGGGAAGAACAAGAATAAGGGCGAAGACAAGGATCGTGATAAGACTGGAGCTGGAGTTCAGAAGGCTGGAAGTAAGACGAAAGGGGGATTGAAGGTTCTTGGTTGATTGACGCGTTTGGGAAGGGTAAGAGTGACCGCAGGGAACGTTTGTGGTGGAGGCTGGTGGTTCTTTAATACAAACTGAATCAATGCTTCTGCTGCTCTAGCATTGGACGAGGAAAAGGACATTGTATCTAGAGTAATGAGTAAATAGAGTGTCGCAGAATACCACACCAAAAATCCATCAACCAATCAACCAGCAATCCAAACCACCTCCCTATTCAGCTCCCCTCTCCATCACCTAATGCGAAAACTATATTGTTCATCTAAACCAAACCAAACCAAACTCGACCAAACCTACTCAAATCAAAACAAATTAAATGAATGGTTTGGTTCATCCCTACCGTATTTCAGAAATTCGGTTCGTTGCCTAGACTTAGTCGTATATCTGCGAACAGTAAGTCTAGAGTGGTACTGGTACTGTGGTAGGTATTTATAGATTTTTCTCCGCACAGGCCCTGTGTCTGTGTCTGCGCCTCATGTGGAACTGGGAGGGAGGGAAGGTGGGGAAGGTAGCGAAGGTACTGGGGGTTAAGCGAGATTTTGGGTTTATGCGATGGGAGCGAGGGTGGTGAGGGGTGAGGGGTGAGGGGTGAGTGAGGGGTGAGGGGTGAGGGTGTTTGGAGGGGAGGGTGGGATGTGTGAGTGAGTGAGTGAGTGTTTGGAGGAAAGGGGGATGTGGTGAGTGGTGGGATGTGTGAGGTGAGAGGTGAGGGTGTTTGGAGGAAAGGGGGGGGTGGATTTGAGGGTTGGATTTGGGGATTGGGTGTTTATAGGGAGGGGAGGAGAGTTGAGAAGAGATGAAGAGGGATGGCATTGTTTTATACGTAGAGATGGGTTTAGATTTAGATTCAGATATAGTAGGTTTAGACTAAGTGAGTAATAGAGGAAGGAGAGAGAAGGGAAAGTGGAGAAAAAAGGGAGAGGAAAATATACAGTAACCAATAAGTGCGATATGCAACACTTTACAGCTTCATAATAAATAAATTAAAGGATAACTAGTATCCAGTAAAAGAACTTCGTAATTAAGGAGGTATATTGATATCCAAGCGTCTACTTTATATAACTTAGATTATAGTAGATTACTTGGGTATAGAAGAGAAGGAAAGAAAGTAGTGATGGGAAAGAGGGGAGATAGTATAATTAGGGAAAAATAGAAACTAGGAAGTGTGATGTGTAATGATTTGAGAATTAATGATTGGAGATAGATGGGCAGGAGGGTTGGGTTGTTACTTCTTGATGGGTTGGGGAAGGATGGAGAGATGGATGGTATGGGGAGGGGTATGGTATGGTATTGAGATTTATGTCTAAGCGGGTATATATTTGATGAAGAGGTGAAGGGAAATCAAGTGGACTGAATAGAGAGTATAACCTTGAATTTTAAGAGAAGAATAAATAGAAACTAGAATGTGCGATGTGCAATGATTTGAGAAGTGATGATAGTATGAGGGGGTTGTTGGAGGGAGGTTGTATGGAGAGGTGTATTAGAGTAGATAACCTTAAATAAAAATTTAGATGAAAAGAGATGAAAAGAAATTACATGGACTAAATATAGTATAAATTAGGGGTTATTAGAGGGGGGTTCTAAGAGGGAGGTTCGTAGTATAGTATAGGGAGGATAAAATAGATAACCTTAAATAGAAACTAAAAATGCGATGTGCAACAAGAAAAGGATTGGAAATGATAAGGGGATTAGGGGGTTCGTGGTATAGTGAGATGTATTACGTTAAAGCGTTAGATTAAGATTAGATTATAGAGTAAATATAGTGCGAGCTGGGAACTTGGTAGGGTAGTAAATAGGAACTGGAGATACGATGTATAACGATTTGGGAAAAGAAATTGGTTTTGAGTTATAGTAGGGATTAAGAGGTTCGTGGGAAGGGGAGATTTATATTAATATCGAAACGAATGGATTTTTTCTAGAATATTTAGGTACAAGAGGGATTTAAGGGGGGGGAATAAATAGTGACTTAAATTACGATGTGCAATAGTTCAAAAAATTAGGTTTGAATTAGGGGATTAAGAGGTTGGTAGTATGGGGAGACGTATTCAAGTCAAAGCAATGAGATTATCTGGGTAGGAGAGGTGGGATTCATGGAGGAACAAATAGCAACTAGAAAGTGCGATATGCAACATTTTAGTAAAAGATTAATTAGGATATTAGGGAGCTCAGCTACAAGAGCTTGGGTAGTATATATGAATCTCGGATATATCTCCGTATATACAAAGTCAAGCACCCAAATTACAATAAAGAACCGCGAAATGAAAACGCACTAAACATAGCCGCCCAACTCTCACTTCTAAATTACAATACAAAAAGGGAAGAAACAGATTTGGAAAAAACAATATGCAACAAACATCCAAGAACGGGAATGGAATTTGTTGTTGGAATCATCGTTACTATTCCCTAGGTTTGATGCATAGTAGGTTAGGGGCGCAGACCCGATGCGCAATACGGATGGAGGTATTAACATAATGCGAACGTGGGAATGGAACATTGTTATAGGAGGAATAAATAGAACTAGAAAGTGCGATGTGCAACATTTGGAAAAGGAGGTTGTTTAATTGTCGTTGTGGCTGGCATTATACGCCGTTGGGGCTCAGCTGCTGCTCTGTAGATCGTTTATCGTAAGATTTACGGGTGGTTTGGATGGGATGCACGATCTGCATTGTCGTTGTGATGTTAAAGTTGTTAAAGCGATAAGCGAGGGAATGGAGACAGTTGTGATTGGGGGAATAAATAGAAATAGAATGTGCGATGTGCAACGTTGAGGGGGATGGTAGATGGAATAGTGTTTTGGGTGGTGGTGGTTGGGTAAGTGAGTTAGATTTACGTGGTTGGGGCTCATGGGGCGTGGCGTTTACGTATGCTTTGCGATACAGTACATGTGCTGTTGATTATTGAAGTAGACGGAGTGGCTGAAAGAGAACTTTCAATATTCAATATCAGGAATAAATAGAAACAGAATATGCGATGTGCGATGTGCAACAATTGTAAAAACTTAACAGTTTAGAGGAAGGAGGGAAGGATGTTGTGCTTGTTTATTACACCTTCTACAGTACCGATGTAGGGATCTAGCTTGAAGGTGTCCAATATGTTTTCGGATAAACGGAATGATGTCAAGGTAATCAAAGAATCCGAGTTTGTAATTATTAACATGGGAATAAATAGAACTAGAAAGTGCGAAATACAACATTTCAAAGGGATTAATGAAGAGGGAGGGATGTTTGTGGTTGCGCTCGGAGTGGATTGGGGCGCGGACCTTGGGGTGTGAGATATCGATACAATGCGGACTTGAAATAGATGTAGTAATATGTTTTGATTGGAGGAATAAATAGACCTAGGGATTGCGATGTGCAACATAGAAAGAGTAATTGCTATAGAAGGGAGGAGAGGTAGATTGGAAAATGGTATGGTTTGTGTTTGGCCTTACTGTAGGTAGGGTTCTCGTGCTGGAAGTATAAACGAGTATTCTACTGCAGCTGTATGCGATGTGTGGATTAATGCCAAAGTGACGAGTGAAAATGCAATTAGTGACAAGATAGTTTCATCGGTGGATAAATAGTTGTGAAAACTGCGATTTGCAACAGAAAACACTGGGAAGAGCGAACAGGAAAAAATGCATGAATTTGCAAATAAAAGGTCTGGTTACATCCGGGGTGGATTCAGCTGGTGGGTGTCTTCATGCCACATATTGCTTCAAAGTAACCAGAACGAATGGATGGCAGTAAGATCGCTTACCATATTGAGAAGCTGGAATGTGGCAATAGATTTATAAAACTTGGTTAACTTGTTGTCTTGCGAAGGTAGGAAATGTGAAGGGATATTCTGGGTTATTGGCGGTTGAGGCGGCTGTGGCAGTGGGAGTTGTACAGTGCGGAGTACAGTATAGAAAGTTGGGACTTGGAATTCCACAACATCCATCCAGCACAAAGTCAACAAAACAACAGTGGAGATTTCAAGTACCAACAAAACCAGAGCTGAATCTGCGATATGCAACAATTTCAGCAAATTCTCACAGAATCCGAAGGCAGCAAAGTCAAAATTGAATATCTCCGTCGGAGGGGCGGGGACCAGGTTTGTGGATAACCATCCTTATTCCAAAGTCAAGGCAACCAACAAACCGCAAGAACGACCACCTCTAATTGGAGGAATAAATAGATTGTCATAACTGCGATTTGCAACATACCTCTTTATTCTCTCCGCACAAGAACTAATATACCTTCGTATATTATTTCGACGGCACGAGAGGCAAAGTCTAAAAATGTGTGTCTTGTAATTTGCGGTGGACGGTCGGGGAAAAGGGAAAAAGTGGATATTGGTAGTGTTAAGAGGGGCTTTATGATGTGTTTACGCGTCACCTACAGGAAAAATGCAAGTCAACTGATAGGGATTAGAGTTTTGGAGAGTTGGTTATTGCGCTTGAATAGGAAAGAATTCATCTTGGAAATAGATTAACGGTTTTTGCGATGTGCAATGAAATGCCAAATATTTGCCCTTTGGAGGAGAGGAGACAGGGAGTGGACGTCAGCTACTGAGACAATCTGAAGCCTGGATCTTTCAATGGTGGATCAAAGACTTTTGATGGTGGATTTATTCATTTCAGATATAAATTAAAGATTATTGCGATGTGCAACATAATGTGTTCTTTGGTGTTGAAGTGCTGTTCAGCTGTGGTTAGAACTCGTGGCTAGAGAAAAGTGATCAACTCTGGGACAGGGGAGCCGGGCTGTAAATTACGAATTCATACATTTCTTATATTGTACTTTCTGGGAGCTTGATCTCTAGCTTATATAGGGGTTACTATATGTGAAACGTAAATTAAATATTTGCACGACTTGCAACATAATGTCCAAATTTTTCCGTTGCTCGTCCCCGCAAAAGAGACTCGGGACATGCTGTCTTCAGTGAGGTGTTGTTATCCTGAGATTTTGTACTTGAAGGAAGTGTAATACTTTTCCACACCAAAGTCATATCGTATTTGAACGCTGTAAGCAGAAACTCTT